GGGATTCGAACCCAACGACCTTGTGGATGTTCCTGGACTGGAATCACACGCGCTACCAACTGCGCCACAGCCCCAATTGATGAAAGACTGATGCCATCTATTGTTCTACTAGCGACAAGTCATAGACCTAAAAGACCACAGCATGCCATGTGCCGACCCAGAGAGAGGTATGCAAGTTTTGAGTTCACTACCTATGTGTATTGTAAATGGACTGTATGGTGTAATGATTTTGGTAATTGTAGTGGTGAATTTGATGGATTAAATACTCGATTTGTCACCTATCTGGAAGCAGGCGACCTGGATATCCCAATACATTTTCTGCTGCAGATTTGATTCTTTTTTGTTACATGTCGCCAGTATCATGTTCTTTATTGGTGGATTCGTCAGTCCTGATATTTATTTTCTAGTTAAAAAGTGGAGTTTCGGTGTTTTCGGTCGTATTTGTGGCTTTGGGAATATTTTGTCCTTGTGTAGCTATACCCCGACACTTATATATATTGCAGGGCGACGGTCCTTATCAACAATTAAGCAACATCTTATAATTTTACACATACATGCAATTCACAGGAGGATGATTCAAAAGCACAAGACAACCGAGTCCAAGAAGAATCATCAATCTTGCCACGGGGATTCGAAAGTTAAAGTATATCACGTATTGAATCTCCGATGACGAAACCATTGCAATGCCTCTGAGGACTGCCGCTGGATATTAAAAATCCCAGCTAAGACGCCATAGACCAGTCATGCCTTATATTAACAACCATCATACCACTGCGTCCGTAACCACCCAGTGAGATGTTGAATCGATCGAGGTTCGCCATTGATGAACCATGTCACTCGAATCACCTGGCCTACTACAATGCACAAAGAGCACATTCGACCATGGAACTCTATAACTTCCCCGCAATCAGCGGTCATTGTTCTAAGATCATATGGAGTACCCCGCCAATTAATCACATTATACAATGAACCATGTCTATGCCATCTATTCTGATGTCAGATAAATCACCATGACCTCATGCGCGACAGCCCGCCACCTATATAAAGCCACACAGCGAACACAATTCATCGGATCGAAACTGCCTGTGTCCTCGAGATAATGGTATACTATTACAACCACACAGCAAACGTTATGACTTCAAATATCCCCCCAAACGTCACGACCCGATCCCAGGATCAAGCGCAGCAGCAGGGCCAGCAGAGCCAGCGCAGCCAGGGTCAACAACAGAGTGGATTCCACAACCCCTACCGTCAGGTATGTGTACCGGACTGAAACCCGAACAACCAAGTGCGGAGTACTGAGTCGATTATAGGGCCAGTCTACTGCGATTCGCTCCACCGGTCCCAATGAGCCTGATGTATCGGGCAAGTATGAGCTGCAGCACGATCAGCTGAGCCACCCAGACACCGACCAGCCTGATGTTGCGGGCAAATACCATCTTGTTCACGACCAGTTGAGTCACCCTGACGAGTAATGCTGGGCCGTCACGAAAACGATATGGCGTGTGATGATTCGATGTTGACTATTGGTGGTGTGTGATACTGGTGATCGTGGCATGTTATTCTGATGTTACATACCGACGCGGTGGTATACTATGTGGTATTCCTCGGAGGCATGTGGGAATAGTCATGACATAATTTTTTTTTGTAATTTGATATTTGTCGTCTTCAATATTGATGGATGTGGCATGCATTCAGATGTTGACTACCGATGTGGAAGTTTGATGTGTGGTATGATTGGTGGGAAAGTGCGTGTACAACGGAATGCTTAATGTTAAATGAAATCAAATTCTGGAAGGCAGTGCTTGAGGACGGTCTACACAAACACGCTCATCCGTATCAGCATATCACCAGGATGTTCAAGAATATAGAACGGAAGGCAGCTATTGCATGAAGCCCTATGGAACAAATAGATTCCAACATCAGTCAATCAGAATCACAATAGATTGCACAAACTTCGACAATGGTGCGTAGTGATATAGTGGAGGTCTTGACATCATCTCATGGTCGTTTGCGATCGACTTTCCAACATCGGATGCTCGGGTTCACCGAAGCCAAAACAATGCCATTTCTACACATGCATGACGAATATCACGCCGTGGAGATCAGATAATGGATGTGGAAATTTTTATTCTCTCCACCTCTTCTACTTCTACATTCCCTTTCATCACCTTCGCTTTTTCCATTTCCCCTTGTTGGTCTGTTTATACTCTCCTTTTATCTCTATATTTAGTATACACCGCATTGGAAAGTCGAGTGGCAAGTTCATGGTGTCAACGGGTAGAGGCAAATCAGACCGCTCGTCTACGTGTCTGGCCCGAGCGACAGCATGGATGCTATTGCAATGTCCAACATACAGGGCGGTGGATATTACTCGGGCTCCCTAATTTGATATGTTCTATCTACTCCGTACTGATCCAGATCAAACCCTTTATAGCAGCTGACATATGGCCATGCGACTCCAACATGTCGATATCAAAATCCATGTGCATTACTTAAACGTATATGCGTCGATGGTCTAGACAACGTGTACTAATTATAGCAAAGAATGTCACTGCTCTGTTCACAATCAATGTTGATATTGTCAGTCTATACATAAATAGATAGATAGTATGGAGGCAGCAGTATAAACCCATATCCAATAATCCATACCACGGAGCTCCGAAAACCAACCGTAACCCAGCCGGCCTGCCCGTCCGTCCCCACACACCACCCCAAAACAGCTAGCTTAGAGATAGTAAAGTGGACTGACTCTCTTCTCGCCTCAAACTGTCTCACCAGCTCCACTGAGCGAATACCAGCTAGTGCCGACGATCGGATCTGACAGTTTACTCCGTACTCGGCAAGTTCTAACAAATGACGTATGGAAGGATTTGAATTAGGATTAGGATTGGGACTAGGATGGAGAGAAATTCACGCAAACTAGCGAGAGTGGGTAACATGATTCCTGAATCTGGTATCCACACCCCTTTCGCCTCGTTTAAGTTGCTATGTGGACCGGGCTGGTTTCTCGCTTCATCCGTTTTGAGAATGGAAGTGCCAAGGTGGCGCTTATCGAGGGTTACTTGCCTGTTTTGTTCGGGTGATGAGTAAGGAATAGAGATGGCACTGCTGTTCTCAGCATTAGACTGTTATTTCCCTAGTGCTGATCTGAAGTAACTGTATCTGGTTTCTCAAACTAGTAAGATTAAGGTGAGTTGCCAGTGAAGTATAAGCCATCCACACCGACCTCAGTTGCCACCAGCTTTTTGAGACGAAGACGTCTTGGGTTCTATTCCAAACCAGGCACCGAGAAATCCATGCGAACTGGATTTTGAGTTTATGGTGTATAATCTAGCTATCCTTATGCGTATTAAGTGAAGCTGTGCATATGTTGCTGATATCGTGGCTAATAGACCTGCCTGATGCTGACCGACTTTCGTTTGATCATGTAGCTAGCTAGATCTTGGGACATGATGGTAGCGTTTTGAGTTGACTATCGCGTCTTGATTTCTGATCTCGCGCGGTGAGTGTATTGCACATTGGGAGATCGAGGTCTATTGTTGTTCTACTGCTCCGTACCATCGGGTTTGTTTCGATGAACGCATCAGCCATTTACACTCTTCAGACGGTCAACACCAGCTTCTACCAGCCGGTAGTGAGGTCATCAGGGAGAAGTACATAAATGAACCGGAGGCTATAGATCGCAGATAATAGACTTCCTAAGCGCGGACCAGCGGACAGCAGACAGCGGACAAGAACATAAGCGATGCGTTGACCAAGAGACGGCCGGCGGGTCCTTCAGCCGGTAGGAAAGCCGGTGCCAAGCTTTGCATGCGGTAATTCCAGAGGCTGTTCCGATCTTCCCACTGGATCTCACCGCCAATCCCATCGGACACTATCGACTAGTTCAGGACGGTCGAAGACTCTTTGTGGGTTTGGCGAGCACCAGTTCCCGAGGGTCTTTAAATTAACCTAGCGGGATTTTGTTCGGGACGAGAGTGGAATGACCGATTCTAGACCATGGCTGCGAAGTGGAGTGGACGTTGGTGGAGAGACCGAGAGAGAGAGAGAGAGAGAGAGGGAAAGAGGCTGTCTGAGTAAGGAGTACATATTCTAGCTGGGCAGGTATGGAGTAACCCCATACATGGCTCCTTGAATTAGGTACCTACTTGCCATCACTGACAATGAGTGCCTCCACGATTTACAGATACATATATCGCTCAATTAACCTGACTCACGCCCTTGAGGATGCCAGTGCAGAGATGAAACAGAAGAATTGGATACGTCCGGAATGCTCTGCACTCGTCTGAGTGTGATCTTTCCGCCAACCCATGTGGACACCACATTCTTGATTTTTGCAATTGAAGAACAGCCACCAATTCTTGGCTGGGGGTCCACGATTGGGTCAAGGGAGAGCCACTCACGTCATTGGGGGATGGGAAGTGGGCCTTGTCTCCCATGGAGGCCGCCCACCGGCCCCTGACCCTAACCACAGTTTCCAACACGTCGTTTCAGTTACCCTGAACCCGAACCTGAAGCCGGAGGGGGGGAGCAATAGGCTTGAAACGGAAAAGTCTCGGGGTGGGGAGGCAGGAGATCAATCACAATACATAATGGGGGAAAAAAAAGAGAGGGCAACCATCAAGGGAGGAGGGGCCCCATCTGTCCATTCCCTTTGGTGTGTGTGAGTCGGTCTCATTGTTATTGTTTGGGACAGATTAATTGTGTAAGAGGTATTTCACTAGTGGCTGTTATCTCCATTCCGACCACCGAACAGGGAGACCAAGGGTGATGTTTTGACCAAGATAAACAAACATTCGAACCCCATCGAGTCATGTACTGTGGATGGAGTCAAAACATCTGTGCATTACATACATAGTACATACATACATACATACAGGGAGGGACAAACTAGAAGAGTGTTGTTATTGTTGTTGTTGTTGGAGATCGCCGATAGGGTGAATGTTACACTGGGAGAGTGGAGAGGTTCGGCTGACTCAGAACTGCTGCCTTAGCCGGATATCGATAAGCCCTGAAGTAGGGCTCGATATCCACCAATCAGCAACCCTCCTGGGCAGGCATCCCGCTGAGTCAGGAGGACGCGCAATCCTTTTTGGCCTGAATTTCTATTCCTGGCGTGGAGACGGAGCAGAGACGGATCCCCTTCCAACCTTCCAAACTTCCCCTGGACGCTCCACGAACTCCATTCTGTTCCGACTTGGGTCCCTCTCGTCCTCCCTCTCTCTCCCTCTCTCTCTCTCTCTCTCTCTCTCTCTCACTCTCTCCCTCTTCCTCTTCCCTTAACCCATCCACCCTTCCTGTCGATCCTCACATCCGACCACCTCATCATTTATCATTACCCTTTTTTTTTATTATCCTAATTTATTTTTTTCTTATTACACCTTCTCCATCAACTCTCCCTCAACCTTGGATCTGATTTCACCCCCATCCACTGCTTTCTTGCTTTGCGGGTGTCATTATTCCCTCGTTCTAGAATCTTGGTCTCGAACTCTTCCCTAGTTCCTCTTGAGCCCTTGGATCCGCCCATCAGACTACCCTCGTCTCTCGTTCCCCATCGTCGCTCGCTACCCTGCGATCGTTAACCTATCTGCCTACCCATCTGCCTACCCATCTGCCTCACCCCTCGACACATCGTCATCTTCGTCTCTCTCGTCAATCTTGAGCCGGATTGTAGCAACTCTCCCAGTCTTTCGTTAAGAGGGCTCCCCGAATTCGGATACGCCCTCGCACAACTCCACCTCTCTCACCTCTCTCATCATGGCTACCCTCGCAGAGCATCCCACGGTCGCACCGTCGTATGATCAAGATATCGATAGCTTCCTGAACCTCGATCAACTCACCTACACCTCCTCCGAACCCGCCCGATCAAAAGCCGCCCTTGGGGGTCAACCCGCCCTCCCCAGCACGGAATACACCACCGCCGAGATCCACGGTGCTGGCTTCCCTCAGAATGGTCAATCCCCGCTGAGTTTCCAGGGCCCGAGTCACCAGTATGACGAGCACAAGCAGCAGACCGGTCTCCCCCCGGGTGCCCTGGCCCAGGCCATGCCTTTCCAGCAGATGAACAGCATGGGCTTCGGTGCCAACACCGGGTTTGCCATGAATGGCGACATGTATTCCGGTCAACTGAAGCGGGAAGATGCTCCTCTGGATTTCAACACTATCCCCGCTCGCAATAATTCCGAGATGGATCTGGAGTTCCACAACATGGGGGCGGTTCCGACCTACTATTCCTCTCCCAGCCCGAGTAGCAAGAGCCAGTTTGTTGACCCGAGTGCCCTGGGAGGCCAGGAGGCCGCTTCCGCTGGCCCATCCACCCAAGTCGGTCGGATGTACCCGGGAATGCACCAGCAGCAGGCTGCGATGGCCAAGGCCGCCCAACAGAAACAGCAGGAGATGCTCCGCCAGCAACAGATGCAGCAGCAACGCCACATGGAAGAACAACAGGTACCACAGGAATCGTCTCCCCAGAGCCAGTCGCCGCGCAACTCCAACCCGGCGGTCGATGAGCGGATCTCTCGCCTTTTGCAGCAGATGAGACAGAACGCCATGGGTTCGCCCGATGACTCGCCGTCCCCATCCATGCTGCCCCAGATGGCCAAGGCCAGGAAGGAAGAACAGGATATGGATGAAGACGAGCGACTTCTCGCGAGCGAGGAGGGGAAGAAGCTCAGCAGCAAGGAGCGCCGTCAGCTCCGTAACAAGGTGTCTGCGCGCGCCTTCCGCTCCCGGAGAAAGGGTATGTACAGTTGCCGACCGTGACCGATGAAGACCGGACAGTTGAACTAACACATCTTGCAGAATATATTGGTCAGCTTGAGAGTGAAGTTGCCGCCCGAACCAACGAGGCCCATGATCTCCGTCTCCACAACCGTGCCTTGTGTGAGGAGAATGCTCGCCTCACCGACCTCGCTCGCATGCTTCTCTCCTCGCCCCAATTCTCTCAGTTCTTCGACGAGATGAACCCCAGTGGCCTGCCGATGCCCACGGCGTCGCAGCCTCAGCAGCAGTCGGTCCAGCAACCCCAACAGTCCCAGGCGCAACTGCCACCCCAGCAACCCACCGCGCCTCAACCGTCGTTGCAGTCTCATCTTCCCAAGGAGACGAACCCGGCCCACGGCGTCCAGGAGTTCGCCATGCAGCAGAACTCCCAGGTCGGCATGGTGATGGTGCCCAACCAGAACGTGGACATGTCTACGCTGAGCCTGAACGGTACCGGTGGCTGGAACTCCGGGATTGACGTCAACTATGGCAACGCCCCCGTCTTTGCTGTGCTCGAGGTTCCCGAGCCTCCGGTGGTCGACACCGCCGCACTCTCTGGCAAGACGTCGGATCTCGGTGTGCCTGGCCTCCCGGAGGTGACGGGAGCCAAGGTGGAAGCGCCCGTTATGGAACAGGCCCCGGCGACAGAGGAAACGAACGAGTCGACTGTTGGCGTTGAGAACCCGGACGTCCATTTTGACGAATCTGACCCTGCCTTTGCTCTCTTCGCCGACTCTCCTGCCCCGACCGCCCCCGACAGCAACACCACGCAGTTCACTGGTGACTTCTCTTCGGAAAAATCCGCCCCTACTTTTGAGCTGGTGGTTGAGACCGACTCTCGGGCAGCCGCGAACCGATTTGCTTACCTTTGCCACAACATGGAAGCGGCCTTCCAACGCGTCTCCATGGTGACCTCTCATCTTTAATGATTCCCCACGTCGTATACTCTGGGTGAGCCTGAGCCGATCGATGCTCTGTGGCCCATTGTTCTGTGCCTTTCTTTTCTCTCTTCCCTGTTTTCCACCTCTACCTTACCTTTATACTCGTCTTCCTTTTCTTCTTCCTACTCGGAGTTTTAGTTTCTTACTTTCTCGACCCAAGCTTTCTTTGTAGACTCAGATGCCTTTCCTTTGTTATGACCCTGTGATTTGTATTGCGTCTGCCGTCATTTTGACTTATCTTCTACTTTTTCTTCTTCTTTGGTCTATTACATAGGGGTTACCGGATTGTTTGATTTTGGCTGTGTTTTTAGGACAGGCTTTATGGAATTGCGATCTAGGGATATGGACACCTTACTGAGCTGGCTGTCAGGACGGATTGTTCAGCAATACAAGAATAAAAGTGCAGACCGTGAATGATGGTCCAATCTAATGATGTTGAAATGAGATTAAAATACAACCAAATCAATATAAGAAAATGATCAACCATAAACCATAGTACAGCTACTTCAAATTGCTTGACACTCCCTACAGTAAGAGTGGATGAGATGGAAGAAGTGGACTGAGGCTCAGTGGCGGGTCTCCATCCATCCCGTCTCAAAGCCAATCATCATTCCTTCTCCGACCCTCAACCGCCGCGTTTTTTCTCCAATCACTCCAGCAGTCGCCTTGTTTTCCCTTTCCCTCTGGAGCTGTCTCGTTCTGAGATGCTACCTAACTGACCTCCAAACTCTTCTCCCTTTGCTTTCCATCTACCAGCCAAGTTGGCTTACGTTCCATTATCAGGGGGCCTGTTTGCCAGAGCCCAGCGCGGATTCGTCGTCTCCCGGATAGGATCCGCATCAATTTTTTCGACGGTCCCCGCTCTGCGAGGCTACCGGACGCCCTCCAAGGCGAAGACCGACAGCTCCCCCATACGCACTCCCAAGCGCGAACCTTCGTCCAAGAAACCGTCCCCAGCTCAGAACGAGAAGCCTAGTACCGCGCCCGAGTCGAAACCTAAGCGGATAACCAAGAACCCCAAGCCTGTACCATCCGCGCCGCCCACAGTCAAACCGGTCCCCAGACCACCGCGCAAGGCAGCCCACAAGTCTGAGTCGCCTACTCAGGTCTACCCGCTGAAGAGCACCGCGAACTTCCACAAAGTCAGCCGGCTGCTAGGCACACCGGGGGACCGATTACTCCCGCCGCTGACGATCTCTCGACGAGGAGGAAGGGAGACCTACCCCATCTACAACCAGGAGATCTGGAACAAGAATCACGGAATCGAGTACCTGCCGACCCCGTCCACGGGAAACCAGCCAATGAAGTCCTACATCCAGGTGGTGACGACGCCCACCGCGGACACCCCCGGCACCGCCCTTCTCCTCCATTTTCCCGACAAGCGCTATATCTTTGGGCAGATCTCGGAGGGATTCCAGCGGGCATGCACGGAACGCGGAGTTAAATTTTCCTACCTCACCGATGTGTTCCTCTCGGGGCGGATGGAATGGGCGAATACCGGTGGAATGATCGGCGTTATCCTGACGCAGGCGGATGCGCTCGCCAGTGCGGCAACGGCACTGGAAGAGCTCAACCGTGAAAAAGGCATTTCGAAGGGAAAGGGTGTCAAGGAGGAGCATGGCGGGTCGTACGCGATCAAGGATGGGCAGTTGATCGACCAGCGACAGCATCTGACTCTTCACGGCGGACGGAATCTGGCTCACACCCTGGCCACTGCTCGCAGATTCGTCTTCCGCAAGGGCATGCCCGTTTACACGAAGGAGTACGACTCGGAAAGCACGGCCAATGGCGCGACCAATGGCGGTGATCCTTTTGAGAAGCCGTCTTGGTCGGATAGCAATATCAAAGTGTGGGCTATGCCCGTCAGCCCGCAGTCTTCGTCGCGGTCGCGGGGCAGTTCCAGTTCCAGTCAAAACAGCGCGAGGAAGCGGAGTCTCGATGAGTTCCAGGAGAAGCCCACCGTCATGGATCGGCACGCCGAGGACCAGATTGCTAGGCAGTCGATCGTCAACGACATGTTCAACTCGACGTGGAAGATGGACGCTTTGACGGAGACTCCGTTGGCTGAAGTGAAGATGCCTGCAGCCATGTTTGTCCGCAACCCGGAAACCAAAGACCTTGAACAGTACAAGGGTCCTGCCCCTGGAAGTGATGAGCCACTCCCCGACATCAACGTCTTTGTTCGACGGCCCTGGCCAGGCGCCACCGTCGAGAGACTCCCGGCCTCGACGCCGTGTGACGAAGCCGTTTCTTATGTCGTGCGGAGCCACGATATTCGCGGCAAATTTGACCCCAAGAAAGCAGCCGCACTGAACGTTGCCAGAGGGCCAGACTATGCTCGCCTGACAAAGGGTGAAACCGTGACCAGCACAGACGGGAAAGAGATCACCCCGGACATGGTCCTAGGTCCGGCGCGGCTTGGAAAGGGATTCGCAGTCGTGGACCTGCCAACGCCGGAGTACGTTGACAACCTGGTCAGCCGGCCGGAATGGCAGTCCCCTTCCGTAACCACGAACCTGGAGGCGTTCGTATGGATCCTGGGACCGGGAGTCGGAGATCATCCTCGTCTCCACGAGTTCGTGAAGAGTACGCCCCATTGCAAGCACACCGTGGCCAGCTCCGATTATTCTCCAAACTACCTGTCCATGGCCAGTATCGCCCGTCTGTCGGTCAACATGGCACGGATCAACAAAGATAACTACATCGTGCCTGTTCACGATAACGTGACTCTCCCCCAGCCCGGGACCGGATCTGGAAACCCGACTGGTGCGTCGCTGTTCTCGCCACTTGAGTCCGGTCTCGTGATCAACATGGAACCCAATTTTGCGTTCGATCGTTCGGAGGTGGTCCCGCTGTTCAACGCTGCATCGGCGTTGGGTAAGATGCCTCGCTCCGTCACGACCCGATTACAGACGGTCGAAACGCGTCTGAAAAAAGAACCTTTCCGCAAAATGCTGGCGCAATACCAGCGAGACACGCCGGGGGCAGATGCAGAGATCATCGCTCTGGGAACAGGGTCGTCTTCCCCGTCGAAGTACCGTAACGTCTCCGGCACGCTTGTCAAGGTGCCCGGCTACGGATATTACCTGCTCGACGCCGGTGAAAACACGCTCGGCCAGCTCAAGCGAGTCTACAACCCCGAGGAGCTACGCGAAGTTCTGCAAAACCTGCGCATGGTCTGGATCAGCCATCTCCACGCTGACCACCACCTCGGCACCGCATCCATCATCAAGGCCTGGTACCGGGAGAACTACCCCGACGGGATCCCAGCCTCGGACGCCATCGAGACCGACGCATCCAAGCTCCTGCAAGAGAAGCGCCTGTTCGTCGTCTCGGACGAACACATGACCATGTGGCTGGAAGAATACGCCAACGTCGAAGACTTCGGCTTCGGCCGCGTGATGCCTCTCAGCGTCGCGCCCTACACCGAAGACGGCGAATTCCGAACAAAGCTCACCTACCGCCACTGCCGTGCGGACGGTACCTACCCGGGCCACAACGAGACGCAACCCCCCGGCCCCCAAGTAACGGAACTCAAGTTCGACGATCCCAACCTGCGCTCCGCCACAGGCCTCTCCAATCTGCAAGCCGTCAAAGTCTCGCACTGCCGCGGCGCAATGGCCCTCGTCCTCGAATTCCCCCACGGATTCAAGGTCTCCTTCTCAGGCGACTGCCGCCCCTCGCGACCCTTCGCGACAATCGGCCACGGCTCGACAGTCCTCATCCACGAAGCCACCTTCCTAGATAACATGCGCGGCTCCGCCATCGCCAAGAAACACTCCACCGTCGCCGAAGCCCTCGAAGTCGGCCGCCTCATGAACGCCCGCGCCATCGTCCTCACCCACTTCAGCCAACGCTACCAAAAGACCTCCGCCATCGAACCGAACCACGCCACAACCGCAACCCCCAAACCCACCGGCGGCTCCGGCCAACTCGTCACCCCCGACATCCCCGACGACATCGACAACGACCCAACCCCCACCGCCACCAACAACACCCCCAACAATGCCCCCATAACCATCTACCGCAGCCCCAAGCTCACCATCCCCATCGTCGCAGCCTACGACTACATGCGCATCCGCGTCGGCGAAATGCCCACCACGCAATCCTACGCCGGCGTCATCGACAAGCTCCACGAGTGCCACGAGCGCCACGTCGCCCTGATGGCCGAGAAGCAGCGATTGCTCCGCGAGCGCGAGGAGGCTCTGTTAACGGAGGCGAAGAGGCTGAAACATATGGGGAAGGCCAAGGCCAAGACTAAGTCACCGGAGGAGAAGCCTGAGCAGGAAACTCCGACGGCTTTGCCTTCCGCCGGGGAGATCGAGGAGTTGTACGACGCTAAGGAGAAGGCTGTTTGGTTTGGGAGTGAGAGTGAGGATGGTTGGGGGACGAGTGATGGGGAGGGTGGACGGTAATCACGATTGATTGCTTTGGAGGGGAGTTTCGATGTTGGTTCTTTTCGTGCTTGTTTATATCTTTGTTTTTATTTCCGACTAGACCCTACTCTTTTTAGTATTGTATATGGTGATCTGGTTTTGTTCGGTGATTTCTTATGAGCTCGATTGCATTGGTGGTTGTTGCGGTTATTGAAACCCTTCTATATGAACGTGCATATTGTTATTGTTGTTGCTGTTGTTGGTCTTGGATATACATATATAGGTAATCTAGGTATTGAGTGTATACACATCTCTCCTCTGGGGAGTTCTCTTCTTCATTGTACGGAATATTGTCGAGTCGCTAATCTCACCGACTTGTATTTATGGATTGATTTTTGACTCATGCCACATCGGACTAGAAAATCAAGCATGTAGTCAGGTCGGCAGTTGTGGCAAAGAATAGCACTCGGCCACAAAAGATATCTAGACACTTTTGAGCTCTGTGGGTACCCTTTTATAGCTATCTTTATATTGTGATAGTAGTAGCAAGTATAATATAGTCTCTGTTGAGACTAGATGCCAACTGAGTCTTACTCTATCACACATCCAACATCATCCTCATCATCATCATGATCGTCTTCTTTCCCTCCTTCATCGGTAAATCATCCAACCTTAAAAACTAAAACCCAGCAGGGATCTTCTCCCGCCCGTCAACCCCATACAACCCCTGATCCAAATTCTGCATGCACTCGTTCGTCCAGCTCTTCGGCGTGAATTTATCCACTATCTCCTTGAACGCGTCGAGCGTGCAGAAGGTGTCGTTCCCGGGAAGGTGGTTCTCGGGCTTGGCGGCGCAGCCGGGGATGCGCACGGGGACGTCGTTGTAGCGGATGCGGACGTAGTGGGATTGAAGGGCGGTGCGTGCGGAAGACGGGAGGTTGGAGAGGGGTGTGCGGGCTGTTTCTGCGGGGGATGGCTGGTTGGAGAAGAGGGAGAAAAGGCCTGTATCCTTGGAGGGGGTGGGTGGAGAGGAGGGTGCGGTGGATTGGGCGCGGGAGAAGAGCTCGACGGCGATGGAGGAGGTGAAGGGCGGCCATTTGGAGTCGAAGGCGCCGACGCTGCTGAGGATGCCGGCGAGGGTGGTGTCGTGGCAGCCGCTGAGGGCCATTTTGATGTGCTTCGCCTCGCTGGAGGTGCCTGATGGTGAAGTTGCGCTGCTCCAGCTGCCGTCGACGGCTGTGCTGACCATGCGGTCGACGACGTCGCCCAGGAGGGCGCCGATGCCGAGCTTTCTGTATTCGTTGCTTTCGTTGTAGCCCCTGAACCATTCGTCGACGGCGATCTCGTTCATGTATTGCCTTGCGGTCTTGTCGTAGAATTCGGCGGGGAGCTTGGTGGCGGGCCCGTGGGCGTCTGTGGCGTTGATCGTGTCCATGATTCCTGAGAGACGCGGGTGCGCGTCGACGGCTACCTTGGGGGATTCTTCAGGCATCCACTTGGAGATTTTCTTGTTGATGTAATCCATTTTTTCCGTGTTGTTCCCTATCCGGTTTGTTATGTTAGACTGTGTTTGCTGGGTAGGGATTATGCCGCGTACATCGCTGGGCTGCTCGGTCGGCAAACAACCGAGCGAGCTGTCTGAATCGACGGCAGTTGCCCTCGTTCGGGAACAGCGTCTCGTCTGATACGGACCGCGCGACGATCACCGGCGGCTGGAAGTCCTGCGTTCGCGCATTTGGCGGATACATTCCCCAGAAGGCCTCTTGGAGGGACTCGAGCGCGCGGGGGATGGGGGTCGCACGGAGGTACATGTCTTCGGTGTCGGACTTGATCTTGGGCAGGAAGCCCAGCTGGTCGATGTACAGATGTCGGAGACGCTGCCCAAGGGCAAAGGTGGTTTCCCGTCCTTTGTCGGTCAATTCACCGTGTTGACTATATGCGTTTCCGTCAGCGGTGGGTTCTGAGCAGGTGGTGTTTCGGAAATGCGACTTGCCAGATACCCTCTATATCGCCCCTCGGACCGACCGTCACTACGGCCTGGTCTCTATCTCCGAACGACTCCATCTTGCGACGGAATTCGAATCCATTCCAGGCCTTGAGATCTTTCCTACTTGCGGCCATTTGGACCATTTGGCGAGCGACATTGCAGTATGACCAGTCTGCGGGGGAAAGTCGTCAGTTAGGCTGTATTATTGGGTGAGGGATCGGGTTCGGAGGGGGTTACATGGAGCGAGGCCGGCCTGGAAAGGAAGTACTGTCAGTATATATTGACGAGACAAATATAGTTTTGATCGAGAGGGTACTGTACATTCTGGAAACGCGATGACACTGGGGTCCGTTCACCTACACAAGAAGCGGTCAATGGGGTTTTTGCGCAATACGGTGCGAGACAAGGCGCTCACCATGTCGAAGAAACTATACAGTATCTTCCCGTTAGCGATTTATGATCCTGTAATTTTTGAGGGCATTGACATACCACCTGCACTAACTGCAGCTTCAGTTCCTTTGGGTAGAGCTGGGCAAGCTCGTCTTCGGAGTACGGCCCGCGGGGAATGAGGGTGGTCATCTGGAGGGATATCGGGAATTGGGTAAATTCAAAAAAGTAAATCGAAAAAAATATCCTGGCAAATCCCAACGGAGCCAGAACAATTCAATCTCTTGGACTGAACAAGCAGGAGAATGAAGCGGGACTGACTCAATGTCAGACCTGAACGAGGATGAGGTACTGAGGCCCGGCCGCCTCAGGCTGGAGACGGATGTGACCAATCAGGTGACCGGGACCGGCTATTGTGGACCACGTGGGATCCGACAAGGCTGGAGTCGTTCTTTGCATGGAATTATATCATAACACATTTGATGTATTATATTTAATTGATAGAATGATTAGTAGCGAATGGCACTGTCATGATAAGTCTAGGTATGAACCTATGAGGACGTCGGTGCTCGGACGAATAGAAGACCTGTCAATGACGAACCTCGGCATGGTCGAAATGACTGTTCAAACTGAAAAGTTGCAGTGACTACTCCACAGATATCAGACCCAGCAACAAGTCTATTGGAATGCCCATAACCTCCAGTTCTATACTACAGTAGATCATGAGCTCATTGCAGATCATCCAGTCAGGAAAGAATGATAAGGGAGAATGGGTTTGTTTCTTTGACAAATCCGCCAAGCCTTGGGATCGCCCACCGCTTTCGCTATCTCTGCCTGAGGTTCGCCCGTCGCCCGGGGTCTCCGCTCCATCGGTCAATCCACTCCATGCTGCAACTCCCGTTCCTACTCGCCTTCCTCGACACGACTTGCCAGAGATAGACGTCGTTTCCGCTCAAACAATCCCATCTCGCATGTATCCGCTCAATTGGAATTGCTGACGACCAATCTCTACGCTGATCTCTACCTAACATCATCCACGGCCAACATTTCCCCACCCTCCACATCCTTCCTGGTTCCCCTCATCTACCTCATTCATGTGTAGGACATAAATCCGGGGATCATCCAGGACCCTCTTACCACCCCGTCAATTTTCCTCCCCTTCAGCGTGGCAGAACAATTTGTCAACCAGCCATGATCGTCGGAATGTGCTGAACTATCTTTCGGATCCTGTGCAGCAAGGAGCTTAATCGTTCAATAATCCTAGGGCTCACGTTACACGGTCCCTGACTGGCATTGTCCATGCCATTGAAGGCTCGCAAAAGGAAGTAAAATATTTGGCATCGTATTACAGATAGTCTACTTCTTTCCATCTTATTTCCAAGCTCTGAGAATCGACAGAAGAGCAACAGCGTTGTTGTTGGTATGTTCCAGAACGTTGCCCTCACAGAGGATTCGCGAAGATGGGTTAGAGCGGGCATTGCCAGATAGAACCACGAAGCTGACTTAGCGTCCAGAATCATTTTATGCTTTATTTTCGGATTTTGTAACCTATCGATCAAGGATCTCATATCATGGAGGTAAGAAGCTATTTTCTTAAATCTTTTTTGGGATATCGGCGTTGCTCTTGTCGAATCATGCATTAGCTGTGGCTGTCCCGATCTTGCCATGACGATGACGTGGTGCGATGGCAGTACCCCTGAGATACCTTCATTGTATCTTTACCTAAGGGGTACCCGAACATGAAGACGCTATGGCCCTCTCGGTTGTAAAATGAGATGAACGCCCCTTCCGTGCATTTCCAGGAGTATGCAGCTTCCCGTTGCTATCCTGACCACAGCCATGTCATCTTCGTTGGGTATCGCAAACTGTGCTTTGGTACCTATGGACCCCTGTCTCTCTTCAGCTGTTACAATCCCGTGATCATTTGTCATTAAAAAGAAACTGTTTCTATATGTTTGGTGGTTTATCCTGTCATTTCCCTACTCGAAACCCGTGACCCCTTGAAGTCCGACTTCTGCTTTTCATGATTACCCCATTACGCCACGGGTCCAGGTACCTGGACCCTGGCCCCGAGAGACATGTCTTCGCCGAATCCATGTTGCATGGCAGACCTCGCGTGTGTAAATCCAGTGCTGAGCTAAATTTGGGGGATCTCCTACAGGTTGCGAATCAGTCGGCGGCCCCGTCCGCGCACGCGAAGAGCAAAGCTCAAAATGCCAAACCGCGTCTTCTCCTCATGGGACTGCGCCGGTAAGTCTCCTATCTGGCATGACGAGTACTGTATACTGACCCATCCTAGGAGCGGAAAGTCCTCCATTGCCAGTGTTGTTTTTCACAAAATGCCTCCAAATGAGACACTGTTTTTGGAATCAACCACGCGCATCCAAAAGGACTCTATCCAGTAAGTGGACCTAGCTCTGCTGTGCCGGGATCTTGTGCTTACCCACCACCTTCTAGTTCGTTCATGGATTTCCAAGTGTGGGACTTTCCCGGCCAGTTGGAGTACCTGGAGCCGTCATTCGACTTGGAGGACATCTTTGGTAGCCTGGGTGCCCTTGTCTGGGTGATCGACGCCCAGGATGACTACTTGGATGCGGTCGCGCGCTTGAATCGTACAATCCTGACGGTTCAGCAATATTATCCCAACATCAACATCGAGGTGTTCATTCACAAGGTGGATGGGCTGTCGGATGAATACCGCACGGATACATTCCAAGATATTGTGCAGCTAATTTCGGACGAGCTTAGCGATGCGGGATACGAGAATGCACCCGTGCACTACTATCTGACATCGATCTACGATTATTCCGTCTTTGAGGCCTTTAGCAAGGTCATTCAGAAGCTGATACCTAATCTATCGACCCTTGAGAACCTGATCAACACTCTCTCCAACAACTGCGGCTTCGAAAAGACCTATCTTTTTGATGTGCTGAGCAAGATCTACATTGCATCCGATACCAGGCCGGTAGATATGTCGTGCTACGAGATGTGTTCGGATTACATCGACGTGATCGTGGACATTTCAGAGCTTTACTCGTGGGACCATCCCGACCGCAAGCCCAGGGGCGAGCAGGGCCAGGAAGCCGAGAGCCACGTGGTGCTGCATGATGAGACGATGATACATTTGCTCGAAATGAACAAGTACGTGATGTCGTTCCCAGTAAGACAACGAATCCCGCTGACAGTGCTAGATATTTATGTCTCGTTTCCGTCATCCGCAATCCTGAGGCGAAGGAAAAGAAAGGGCTGATCGACATGAACTGCCGCACTTTCCAGGAGGCGCTGAATGATGTTTTCTCTCGCAGTTGGGAGCAAGACCAGGACCATGAGCCAAGAATAACAAAGGCGTCAGGGCAGCCAGACGAATAAATCTAAGTGATCAAGTACCCGTTCGATTTCTTGCGCCGTACGGTTCCTTGTAGTGGGCTGGTCTGTTTTCGGTCACCACCTCTCCTCCTGTGTGATTTGGTAGAACTCTGGTAGTTCTCTGATGATTGCATTGTTGAGTTCACAAGTGGTGCTTAAATATTCATGCGACCGATACCCTAGCAATAATCCACAATTAGCCATAATGCTGGCAGCCTTAGGTAGAAAGACAGACACCTCAGGCACCAAGACAGCCGGCACTAGGCGGAGACTTGGCCCACACTTTTTTTTTTTTTTCCCTGTCGTACTACAAAAAGCTCTTCTTTCCCTCCTTCTCATCTCTTTCCCATAATATTTTCTTGCCAACCAGACCGGCAAATCGACCTGGACAATGTCCCCAAACATCATGTTGTTTGACCACTAATCGCAGCAGGGATATCCTACTAGATTTATGAGCAAGGTAAGCAGTGGAATACACTTGTTTTCTCCTCTTCGCGACTTCTTATCAACCACAATACCCATCACCCATAATTCCCTCCCATATTCTACTCAACACCCCTTCTCGATGATGAAAAACTTCCTACATTCGCAGTTTCCACGCTAGCCGTCGATCGAACCTAATTCAGACGTGCACTGTGCGCATAACTTCCTTGGATGTCTGAGAGAAATACCACAATATTCATTTGTCTATAGTTTTATGCTTTGGATCATGCTAACGTGGTTTATGTTCAGGTCTTCTAGATACTGGCTGGTACAAGTTGGAAGTGAACATAATATAGAGGGTTGGATGGATAGTCGGACTTGGTCGATACGGCAGGCGACTTGGATAGACAGGTTGCGTTTTGGTTGGAAACGAAGTAGCCTTGTGCTTATGAATGAAAGATATTCTCGAAGTAATTCGATGTCATAATAAATAATATGTATCCGTGCGTCTTAACATGTCACGCAACGAGCATTCGTCGGGATGAGTGCTCAATAGAAACATTATTCGACTTTTTTTAGCACTTCGTTTCTTCGCCGTCCCACGACTCAAAGACTTCCCCCCTTGCCCTCCCCCTCGCGTAAACCATACTCACAAAGAGCCCGCCGAACCGTCGTCTCCGAGACCCCCTCAGGAGCGCTTTCCATAAGTGCCTTCCACGAGATCCCAGGCTGTTGACGCGCTATAAGCGATATATATCGCGTAGCAGGACCACTTAGTTTCGAAGGCCCCCTTGCGAGGACAAGATTTGACATTTTGATGGAGTTGAAAGCGCTGTTTTGTAGCGTAAACAGTGGTTTGGTCGATATTAGGGGTCTACTGTAGAGACGCGTTTGTTGTTCATGGTTAGTACCTAGGCAGTTTACTGGAAAGGCCTCGGTCTAAAAGAGCCGTCACTTGTTTCACCATCTACCGCAACGCCGAGAAAGCACCCATCCCAATGACTTTCTTCTTCTCCTCGATCGATCCCCCGACTTCATCCCCATAACCTAATTTTACGATACTGGCACCGCCAATTCAGCGACAGTGACCATGTCAGACCTTCGCCAGCGACAGACCGCGAAAGCTACCTCCAAAGCACCATCCTCGTCCACCACCCCCCGCTCGAAAAACAATGGCAGTCGCGGCGGCGGCATCAGCGTCCTGGATATCTTCCGCGTGCTGCTTACCCTGGTGGTCGCTTCGTGCGGTCTGTCCTACTACATGACGGGCGAGTCTGTCCTGTGGGGATATCGGCCTTGGTATACGCGGTGGCCGGTTTTGAAGCAATATTTGGTAGGCACCTCCTATTTATATCTACTCCATTACAACCTATCTATCTATGTATCTATCTATCTACACACACACCCAACCCATCAATAAAAGCAAAACAAGCTAACACCCCCCCAGCAAGGCCCCATCCACCTAACACCCACCCAACTCACCCTCTACAACGGCACGGACACCTCCCTCCCCGTCTACCTCGCCGTCAACGGGTCCATCTTCGACGTCTCCGCCAACAGAATGGTCTACGGCCCCGGCGGCAACTACAACTTCTTCGCCGGCCGCGACGCCACGCGCGCGTTCGTCACTGGCTGCTTCCAGGAGGACCTGACGCCTGATCTGGACGGCGTTGAGGAGATGTTCATCCCTGTTGATGACGAGGGCGACGATGCGGGGATGACCTCTGGGGAGAAGAAGGTGCGTCGTGAGCAGGATCGAAGGCTGGCGAGGGCGAGGGTGCACAAGCAGGTGGCGCATTGGGAGGGGTTCTTTAGGAATCATCAGAAGTATTTTTGGGTGGGGGAGGTCGTTACTGATGGTGAGGGCGAGGAGAAGGAGAAGAGGGTGCTGTGTGAGGCGGCTAGGAAGCAGAGGCCTCTGAGGAAGGATTTGAAGGGGAGGTCGTAGGTTGGTAGATTTGTTGGTTGGTTTTATTGAGTAGTGTATTGGTTATGTTGTACACTGGGTGTACAGTTGCATATAAGTCTGTTTCTTGTTTGTCGTCGTCTTGTCCTCCATCTACGTGCTATGTATGTCCCCGCGGACATCAATCAACGTCTGTTCCTACTCCTTTTTGCCTCCGCTACCGTACGAATCTGTCGGGATAGACTTCCGGGATTGATTTATTTGAATTTTTTGTCATTCACTCAGATACAACCATCATTCGCCCGCCCAACTTCGAATATTGATATCATTCGTAGGTAAAGGGAAACACAAGCAAAACCGCGAGAAAAAGAGGAAACCAGCGTTGTTCGAAACGTTTACTCGGCGGTGGGGGCGCGGGCTGTACCGTCGGTCAGCATCTTCCATATTTCCTCTCATAGAACACCGCTCGAGCGATCTCGAGCGACAGGTGGTGGGGAAAGACATACTGTAGATGTTCATCTTGGAGTGGCCGACAACCTTCTTGATCTGGCCCTTCTCCTCGAGATCCTCAAGGGCCTTGCGGGCAAGGCTGCCGTTGATCTTCAGACGGTCGACAAGGGTGGCGACGGTGATCAGACGGTAGGACTGGACATCCTTGTTGAGACGGTCGGCGGTGGCCTTCTCGAGGACGACGGCGTGCTGGGCCTTGTCCTTGACTGTAATTCGATACGTTAGTCTTCAAACCCTTTCTTCATAACCTCCACCATAGCGGTTCTTGCGGTCTCCGAATCATCCCAGGTGATGTCCACGTTCCATCCCCTCGTCGATGGGAAACAAAAAAACACCCTGGGGGAAAAGTGTAGATAACGTACCCTTGCCCTTGGACCACTTCTTTCTTGCGGGGGCCATTTTGTCTGTGATGCGGTTGTTCGACGACGGAAAGAGCTGCGCGACAATCGATCAAATCGAAGTGAACTCGCCCAGAGCCTACGGTAGAGTGTGAAATTCCCGTGGGGCGTGACTCAGCCGCACGTGATGGCAAACCCTAAGCCCTCATCCGCTGTCGGTTAGCGGGGGCGCTGTGATTGGTTGGTGTCTCTACTCTTGTCCCGTCAATCAGCACTGGTGTCCGATAAGATAGGGCCCGATAAGATAGGTATGAATCGTGCCTGAACTGGTGTTTAGGCGTCTTTTCTTATATTCAGGTGTGTCGATAGATCCTCAAGATGGCCAGGTTCTGTATATGTATTATCAACTAGAATTTTTTTACTTTTATTTTTATTTTTTATTGTTATTATTATTATTATTATTTATTATTACCATGGTCATTATTCATTGTATGCTATCAGTTTAGGAATGCGAGTTTCATGTTGAAAAGAAGTTAGATCTCATTGGGCTGTAATAGAAGTCCTCCTGTCGCTTTATCACTAGGTAGTACGAATGGTCATGGCTCGGACGAAGCTCGGTTCCTTTCCACCCTCGTTGTAATCCTGTGATTCAGGGCATATCTTGGACAAGAAAAACGTCTCGCGTAAACATGTATTGGCAAAGGCCTATACAAGTATTCAAAAACTACACGTAGCATTTTGCATATAAGTGATATTATCCCCGTGTTCCTGGTAGTATATCTCTTGTACCTTGACCATTGGGTGGTAAGGCCAGTCACTAAAACTTCAGTAACTAAGCACCGCACCTAGTTTTTGGAAACTCGTGCTTCGGACATTTCGTAGGTTAGAATCTTGTGGTATTGTCTTCCATGTGTTGACAATTTATCAAGTTCAATAGCATGAACTGGCAAGACTCTTCAGTACTAAAGCATACTAAGATCTAACATCACCTGGGTGACCAAGACTGATTTTAAGTGTCATAGTATATATCATTTTTGAATATCTACTTGAAAAGTATCTAGCCAGAGAGAGCTAAGGCGTAAGCTATCCAGGATCTCGTAGTGTGTTCATGATAAAGCTGGAGTCATATCCAATCAATATTATGTCGATCCTGACATGCCCATGTAGGCACTCGCATAACTTGAAGAATGAAACACATGTTGGTGTTACACACAGTATTATGCCCTATTCCAAAGATACTGCATGTGTATTACTGATCGACACACATGATACATAGAAGCATGCATTATCAGTGTAGCATTGCGCTGTTTTGCTGACCTCAAACAGTGTACGAGATTAAGCATAGATTGTTTCTGTGTCACTTACTTCCAATTCATAGGAGATATGATTACCTATCTCACAGAGAAATCTTCGGTATCTCTCTTTCGAAATATGTAGTTAATTGCTGGGCTTCCTACCATTGTAGGGATATCACCGAGTCCTGGCCTTAATGCTGCCATACGGATTGAGCCGGACCCTGTGATGCTTGATGCTTAGATCATTGACATTTGTAAACCCGATTAAATATACAAAATGTTCCAGCAATAATACTCCGAGTTGCACCTCGGAGTTTATTTCAGTTCCCCGCAATATTGAGCCTAACTATGGAGACGGCCCACGTTAGATCTACCAAAGTAGCATGAATGCTATTTTCATGATTTGGTTGCAAATGCAAAGACGAGCATGAATTCATTATCACGATCAATGCAAAACCATAGCTTCTCTGGCTTATATTCAGAAGAATAGACTTAGGAATATATTGTTAGTAATAAATCGTGGAGTATGTTGAACTGTACTCTGTTCGCTCAACGTAGGCCTTCACCCGATACATAGAGGTAAGAGAAATCACAGATCCAATATAGCTGCAAGTCTACACTAAGTTCCAAATGAAGAAAGTGTAGGAACTTGATCGAGCTGAAATAATTGTGATAAATCGACCAAGAAGAACTATCTATAGTACAACAGCATCACCGACGGGCCGACCCGAGCTCGGCGATTCACCGTCAGTTGGGCGTCGGGGAAACGACAAAACACGTCACCTACCTTGTCAGCCGAGGATGGTCCAGAGTCCCTCACTTTTCTTAAAAGCGGAGTTTCCCTGATTCAATGGATTAAAAAAAGGACTCTAGTTCTCTAGAACATCCTCGTATCATACTTCAACATGTCCTCTTCTCAGCCTGTCGCTCTCGTTATCGGCGCCTCGAGGGGCATCGGCCGCCAGATCGCTATTGATTTGGCCCGGTCCGGCTACAAGGGTATATCAATTCCTACTATTTCTCATGATCTCTTTAATTACCATGACAAATCAAAACATATATATCAAGGTATAGTACTGACACAAACCAGTAATCGTCGCCGCAAAAACAACCTCGGACGCCTACGCCCCGGGGAAGCCTTTCCCCCCAGACCCCAACTCCCCGCACTCAACCATCAACACCGTCGCACGTGAAATCGTCGAAGCTGGCGGCGAGGCATACGCCCTCTCTGTCGACGTGCGCCATGTCGGAGAGGTCGAGCGTTTGGTGGTAGAAACAGCACGTTTGTCTGGCGGCCGCCTGGACGTCCTCGTGTACAACTCCGGCGCGATCTGGTGGTCGTCTGTGGCGAAGACGCCTACGAAGCGGTTCCAATTAATGCAGCGCGTTAACCCGGAGGGTCTCTATGCAGCTGTGCAGGCGGTGCTACCTGTGTTTGAGCGGAACGGGCGGCGCGGGCGCATCGTGGTTGTGTCGCCGCCGATCTATTCGCGGTTTTTCCGGGGGAAGACGGCTTATGCTATGGGTGTGTCACTATTTATTGTTCCGCTTACTTCATTCAAATCTGATCTTGTATTGACTGGTTGGTTTAGGTAAGGTGGGTATGAGCGTTCTGACGCGCGGTCTGGCGATGGATTTTGAGCGCCAGGATGCGAGGAATATGGCCATCACTAGTATTTGGCCGGCAGTGGTAGGTTGCACTCCTTTTTCTTGAGCTCTATGTGGGGGGGACAGGCTGACAGCTGGATGGAATGTGACTAGTCCATTGAATCTGCCGCAACGGAAATGACCAGCGCGAATAACGAGTCTATGAAACGGGATCTCCGCAAACCTGTACGTTTCCTGTTAAAGTATGAGAGAGCCCAGCTGATGAAATATTACAGACTATCTTCTCTGATGCCATCTTGGCTATCCTCGATTCTCCCGCGCAGAAGGTCAATGGACTTTTGACGCTCGACGAGGACTTCCTACGTCAGCATCGTGGCGTGACGGACTTTTCGAAGTATTCGGTTGTGCCCGGGTCGAGCCCGCGACGAATCATGCCACAGGAGCTTCCGTCTTTGGAGGTGGAGGAGCAGGATGACGAAGGGAACAGAATGGATAGCGTGGAGATGAGGAAGGCGAAATTGTAGAAGGGTTATCATTTCTTTAGTAGTATCATTTGAAGCATGCATAATTATGAATGAAATATTGGTTTTCACTTTTTGAAGGGTACTTGATCCGATTGGAGCATTCTTCGAAAGCATTGCGCGTAAATTGATTCAGGTAGAAGAGAGAAATGAAATATCTATGTATTCGATGGAGTGTGTCAGACCTGCCCACGAACTCAATATTACAAAATTTCTGGTCACTCATGCCCTAGTTCAGCGGTAAGGCTCACTTACAATGTCTCGAAAGGGGAATAATTAGGGTTTCTATTCCGAAGAGAAACCATTAGGCCTTGTATACTGTGAATCCCATACACTACCTCTGCACAACCAATGTTCATCATGGCTAAAGCTAGCATATACCTACGGACCTGTGCATTCATACTATTGGATTATTCGATTACAAAAGTAGAACCTCTGACAGTATATACTGTAGGCCATGGATTCGTGGACATATGACCTATTTCCCTCCCAGTATACCCACCCAGCCTCACCAACTCAATCACGTAATAGAGGTGTAAAATAGACAAAATCTAGTCATTGCAAATAAACATTGGCCCTTTTTTTAAAATGTATTACGTCGACTCTTCCTCAATTGGACGATAAGGGAGGATACGGTCAGACGCTCATCTACAGCAGTGGCGTATGCGAGTGACTACATCGAGGGGATAAAAGTGCGCTTCAGAAACCGGAAATCACCTCAGAGAGAAGGTCCGCTGCTGCAAGAGTATCAGCTGCAGGGTAACACACTTGATACGCAATAATTTTTATTCGTAGATTGAGATGTTGGCTGAATCTTTGTCTCAGTGGGTAGGGATTTGGATAGCTAACAGTCAGAACATTGGCCCTAATAGGTTAAGGGATATTGTAATGGCTGTCTGACACACAACTCAATGATGTAATGAGGACTATAGGTACGAGTTACCTGAAATAATGGAACAAGATGCATGTCTACTGATCCGGTACATCTTATGGCGGACCCAAAAGCCTTATGACGCAAATTATGGCGCCCCTTAATTTGGTATTGGCAGAAATCGAGGCTGCGAATATCTTGTAGAACATGCCAAGGGGTTCATAGAAAGCAAAATCATGGATAAACAGTTTTGTTTCCCCAATTGTGAGACAGTGCATACAGACAGTGCCACGAATTATAGCATCAGGATGTCCCTCTCCTTGTATCCGGGGCACGTCTCTGGTGAAAAAAGTCTGCCACGGGCGGACATAGCCTGCTTTTAGATAGACTAGTGACATCATTCTCTGACGCGGATAAAGTCAGATCTTTCTAATTCTAGATAGAGACACATTACCTATCTTGAGTCTCCAATGGCGCGACGACGCGAGTTCTCCGCAGTTAATGTGATGGAGGGGGGCAATGGTCATGAGAGATAAGTTGGCTCAGCTTGAGGTCAAGCGTTTTGATGTCAATGCAACGGCCGTAAGTGTATTTATACGGGCTCATCTCCTCCCTCTTTGTGTACTATCATCAACTACAGGAGTGAAAACAAAGACAAAGCATCTATCTCATCATCAGATCGGATAACTTTTCTCATTCTGTGCCCGCACCTTATACGCTGCCGACCTTAACCAGACCCCGTATCAATCACTAAGATACTTAGCACTATGGTTACCTCTCAAGGCATAGCCACTGCGGCTACTCCCGCAAAGCAAGACCTTGGAGCCACCATGCCGCCAAACTATAACGCCCGCCCCGGAGAGCTGCAGACATTTGAGCTTCCGGCCCAGGTCAGTGGCACTCCAAAAGATGTCGAGCTGGGAAAGGCGTTAGTGGATGCCTGGCGCAGTGATGGAATCCTCCAGATCTCCATGAAAGACACCAAAAAGTCTCTTATGGATGAGGTCTTCGATGCCAGCAAGGGATTCTTTCAAAAGCCTCATAGCGAAAAGGCGGCTTGTGTTGACTCGCAGAGTTATTCTGGCTATATAGCGTCCGCTGAAGAGATTACGGACGGTATACCAGACTACTCGGAGATCTTTACTGTCACCAAAGATTTGGATTTGTCTGAGCCACGGGTGAAGAACCACTGGCCCTGCCATGGCCCGTGTCCATGGCCAGACTTGGAGATGAAAGATCCCATGGAGCAGTATATGGAGTACCTTGGCCAGAGCGGAGAGAAGCTCCTCCAGCTTATAGAGTGTGGACTCGGTGTCCCACCAGGATCTCTGACCAACTATACAAGCGATGGCTGGCATCACATGCGTATCCTCAGGTATATCTACCAACTTTCCAATTTAGCCGTATTCAAGACAGAGTCTGACGAGGTGTGTAGGTTCCCCGCCGTGAGCAACACGAATGGGAAAGGCAAAGAAGGTCGTGGCATAGGCTCCCATACAGACTACGGTCTGCTGGTCATTGCTGCCCAAGACGAAGTGGGAGGTCAGTACCCGGATATTGCAAACCACGAGCCGTTGCTAATAGCAGGATCAGGCTTGTTCATCCGCCCCCCTTCAGCCGATGAAGCTACTGCAAATTGGGAAGAAAGTGCAGCAGGATTCCACGAGGACGACTCTGGCTGGGTTTACGTGCCACCAATGCCCGATGTTTTCACAGTATTCCCCGGTAAGCTAGCTCTCCAATCAAACATCGAGCTGCGTGACTCACGGTTAACTAGGTGATATGATGCAATATTTGACCGACTCTTATCTCCCGTCCACACCACACAAGGTGGGCCTTAACACTCGTGAGCGCTTTGCATTCGCCTACTTCCATGAGCCGAGCTTCCAATCAGTGTTGCGTCCTCTCCCAGGATATGACGGGGGGCAGAAGCCTAGGGAGGGTATTCATTATGGAACGCATTTTACGAACATGTTTATGCGGAACTATCCAGATCGTATCACTAGCAAGCGAATGATCAGAGAGAATAGACGAGAGCTGCTAACCAGTCCTGAGCTGAGGACTTAAGCATCGGGGATGCGTGAAAGCAGGATATTTGCTTTTGGACCAACGATCATGCCTTCAACAGGTGAAACAGTCGTGGGCAAAAGCATGGAGTTGGGCGGCCCGGCCCGATGACTGAATGATGGATATTTTCAACCTTCCTTTATCTGATAATGTTGCAATTGCGCTTGATTATTCTTTTGGAGTATCTGTTGATCTTTTATTTTTATGCTCTGAAGGCTTGCTAGGTCCAACACTGGCATGTTTGATTCCAATCATTGATGATGCAATTTGATCTAGTTTCTCCAAGAATTCAATAAATTGACTTTCCCTAATACATTGCTCAGTTACTACGTCAATATAGATGTGGATCATGACTGTAGGCTTGACCAGGGTATTGGATTTCATATCGGGACTATGCTATTCAGCATAATGCATGCCTGGACGGATGGGTACATCCAGTAATTACACCCTCCAACAGCATTTAATTCTTGGTATCACGCTACTGGTCAAAAAAGATTTTATGTCAATGCAGGGTAACGGAAGAAGAAGATCCATGACTAGCTACATGAACATGCATGAAGGCTTCGACTAGCTGATTTCCTTACCAGTAAGCAATGGGTTGCATCACGTATTATGACTGAGTATAGGTATATATAACAAAAAAACTTGCTATGTTCCTTGTGAATTAAACGCCAACTATACAATATGCAAGATTAGCTGTGAATAACAGATATCTATTCACGTATCATCGCATACTTGATCCAACTTCCTCGTTCAGTCAATGCCCAACCTGCTTTTCATCATATCCATGTTTTAGCAGAACTTTGATATCCCTGTTCTGACTGCAGTTTCCATGAATATCCTGATCTTGGGATGCATGCCTCAGCAAGGTTATGCATTTCCGGTCCAGTCACAGTCTAAGAGAATGCAACCCCCCATCAGCCCCAATAGACTTCAAACCAGGGGGTGGTCGATGCAAAATAATGATTGGAAAGCTGGGCTGCAACAGCCCCACAGGATGCATGTCCTGAAGAACACCATTCAAAAAAGAAAAAACGAATTAATCAGCGGCCCGTCAGGCCGTTTGAATGGCCAGTTAATTATGCACTCTCAATTTAGTCTGCTCAGTTCCAAGGACTGAGACAAGGACTCTGACCCCACCCTACACAAGCAAAACCATCGAAATTGTCGAGAAATGTCATAACAACAGCCCTTATTTGGCGGGATTCAAAGCAACCACCCCTCCATAACAATAAAGCCCTCCGTAGTGTGATTGCCGAACTTGGAATAATCAATTGTGGGATGCTCTTCTTGTATATTCGGCTTAAACAACTCCACCATAGCATACACCCTCCTTTTATAGAACTTTCCGTTTGTCCCCCATCCTTCGTCTCGATACGTTGTCATGGACATTGTGAGCCCCTATACCATTGCCAGCTCATCGCCAGCGGAGTTTCAGAAAGCACACTGGTAAACATAGCAAGTACGTTCAATAATATAGCTCATACCAGCCGCTAACGTCATATATGCCACATGGGGCTCCTTTACATTGGCTGCTAGCCAGCGGACCGGACCTAGTGTGACCGGATACTGCCGGTGGTTCTTGGTGTGGTGGATGAGAATCATTGGACGGGAAGAGCAGGCTGACGACTTGCATCTGCAGGGACACGGATTCGGAGGTGATCTGCTCCTCCTCCTTCTTCCATCTTCTACTTGTGGTGTCGTGTGTGGGTTGGAAGGGGGTCCGCGGGGAATGAGGAATTCAGGTAGGGGGAGCTGATACGAGTTGATCTTGTGAGTTGAGTGGCTGGAAGTTTCGTCTGTAGTTTGGAGAGACTAGGAAGTAAATGAGGGAGGGCACCATGACCCAGATGAAAGATATATGTAACGAGGACTATGAGGTGGACTTAGACAATGCTCCAATTAGTGGACTTGCGGCTGGATAATGGGCATATCACGATGAGCCACGGCCAGGCTAGGATTGTCTGCCTTGTATCATGCATGTTCGGATTCGAAAAATCCGGACATTCCAAAGAATTGTACCGCAAAGAATGCTTTCACGGCAGCCAAAGACGTTAGGTATACTTGTTGCTGGTTGACGAGCAGTGCTAAATAGACCTTGTTGGACATGGCGGGGGGGATAAATTTGTGAACTTTGATAGAAAATATTGCAGTGTTGACCCAGAATTTGCAGTAAGCGAACAGCGATATCTTGGTGATATACAGGAATAAATAGAACAATCGGACTAATCTATATGGGGCTCGGAATCATGATTGACGCAGGAAGAACAAGGAAAACAATTCCGTATTATTGAATGTACCAGGTGATAAGACAAGACAACCAAAAAGACGTAGAAAACAATAAATCGGGGGAAAACTCCCCGTAAGAGCATAGACTATAGTATACTCCAAGGCCATCAGGCCCCTCACGGAAAGCTGCCCAGCCGACCCGACGTCGGCAACCGTGTAGATCGGCAGCCTCGGTTCCCCACATGGTCACAGCATCAATTCAACATCCACCATACCCGTGCCTGGGAATAAAACACTTCTACAACCACCAATTCAAGTACGGATACACATCGTAAGAAAAGCAAGACAGACACAATGGGCAAGAAGATCGAGTGTTATCTGGATTGCGGTAAGTCGACTGATAAATCTGGATGGAAAGCCTAATTGCTAATCACATGCATATCAGTATCCCCCTACAGCTTCTACGCTCTCAGCTATCTCCAGAAAAACAAGGCTGCTCTGGAGAGTCTGGGTGTGGAGATTGAGTATGTTATCTATCATCCTGATATATACCTTACCAAATACAGACAGAACCCAGAATTCTATGCTAATACCTGATAGATACATTCCTGTCTTCTTGGGCGGGATCAACGTGGGCAGCGGTAAGCCACCAACCCATCAACCAATACCAAAGTAATGAAGTGAACGAAACCAACACATCTCTTGATCAAAGGAAATAAGCCCCCCTGGACTCTCCCCGCAAAAGCAGCCTACTCCAAATTCGACGGCCAACGAGCCCAGAAGTACTTCGGCCATGACTTCCAAATACCCTCTTTCTTCCCCATTTTGTCTCTACTGGTATACACCCTCCTCTCCTTACCCAGCTGTTGTATATCCCGCCAGACAGGGTGATTGCTAACAAAAAACAGCCCCAAAGAGCCCTAACCCACATCAAGAAATCTTACCCGCCACCAACCCTCGAAGCCGCCTTCATCGCCTGCTACGACACAATGTGGAACGGCCAAGTCGACATCTCCAAGCCCGAACACCTAGCCACCGCCCTGGGCAAGGTCTTCCGCTCCGAGCAGGAAGTCCGCGATGTGATTGTGGCCGCGTCGTCCCCGGAGATCAAGGCGGATTTGTCGGCCGTGACGGAGCGCACCGTCAAGGAGCTGGGCGCGTACGGATGCCCTTGGTTTTGGGTGACGAATGGAGAGGGAGCGTCGGAGCCGTTTTTTGGGAGCGATCGGTGGCATTTTATGTGGCAGTTTTTGGGGCTGCCGTTTGAGGATCTGAGGTTGGTTCCTGATGGGGCCTCGAAGCTTTAATTTGTTTTGTTTGTAGGTTACCATGTGAGTGTTGGGTGTATATAGTGTGAGCTTCTTGATTATAGTTCATATACTATAAGTCTACCAACAAACTAAAGCATGCATTGTTCGTAATAATTCAAATTCGCAGTAGAGTGTCCCTCATGCGCCATATATCCTCAAATACCCCTTGTATACCCAACAAGCAAACAAACAAACTGACTACTAAACCAATCCAGTGGTTTAATCACACCCCAACCCCTCCAACCCCCATAATTAAACATCCCCCCCTCCCCCCAAAGAATCAAAAAAGATATATAAAATGTGAAAAAAAATCACACCCCCGGATACTTCCCTACCAACTCAATCTTCGCCTGCGTAAGCTGCGCCCCGCGCTGTCTCGCCACCCTCCACCCACACCAAGCCCCCACAGCAGCAACAGCGCCCTTCACGACCTCGAGCCCCAAAAGCACACCCAGAAGGATCAGTCCGGCACGGCTAGCCGCGCAATCGCGCCCGAAATGCGCAGCTGCGGGGATTTTGGATGGGCTGCCGCGGACAGTCTTCCACTTGCATGTCCATGAGTAGAGAGTCTCCGATGAAGTGAACCCGTTGGGTTGGGTGGAGTTGGGAAGGTAGATTGTGAAGAGGAGGGTTATGAGTGCTGCTGAGAAACCTGCGATAGAAGTTGCTGATGCGAGGAGGTTGAGGCGTTTTATGTTTGAGTGGGGCTGGATCAAGAGTTTGTCAGTTAATTGCTCACATTATCTCGGGTCGTAGGGAAGATAGGTCTAGACAAAAGATAGATGGGTTGGAAAGAAGTAAAAACTAACCGACGGAAGAAGCGCCACTACAATGTAAACCAAGTTTAAGGCCGCAACGACACACCCACAAGCTAATATCGCTATCGTGGGACGGATGTCAAGGTTCAGCGGCCACAGAGGCAGCCAGGCTTGCTGGTAAACGGACGTCTGACGGTGGTGGTGTAGCGGGGCGCCCTCGCAGCCGATGATGGACACACCTAGCGAGAAGATGAGGACGGCGAGGCCGAGGCGTACTACGCGTAGATAACGATCTCGTCTGAGAAAGTTTGACTCTGCCTCGTCTGATGCGTAGGAGGCGTGGTAGGAGTCTGTGGTAGAGCTGGAGCTCATTGTGTTTGAATGTGTTTGAATTTCTATGAGCGGGGTGTGATATCGGGATGGTGGGTGTAAGGATTTTGTGAGGAGGTAGAAGTAGGTTATGGCAAGTCGAATGCTGTGTCAAAGAATGGATAGAGAATGAATGATATTTCAGAAACAGCCTTTCCAGAAGACCAGAACGATAAAGGATAGATAAAAGTTGGATTATTGAAGCATGAGCGAAACAAGGAAAGAAAGAGGAATATTAAGTGTTGCAGAAAGAAACAAATGCCTATCTATAAATTCAAAGAAACGGGCAAAGAAATCTTTTAAAAGCCGACACTGTAAAGAGATACCCGATATACAGACATTATCGCACACCATCATTGCTCTACACCCGTGCAGAAACACCAGTGACAGACCCCCTCGAGCCGCTGACCAGATCCCAGGCGCTGGTTGGTCTGTCACTGCATGCGGAGAAACCAGACTACATCTTCTGCAGAACCACTGTGGATATCTTCAGGGCAAAGGATCCGAGTGGGCGGTTATATGGAACTTTGTCCTTCAAAAGACAACGAATGAGCGTCGCAAGCCAGAACTGGAACCCATCCTGGGGGGTACACCGGAGGAACACCCAGGCGCACACCCTTTCGACATCAGGGGTGTCGAGTATGGCTGTTTATTGGCCTCCGAAGCGCCACTAATTCTTTCATCTCCAGCATATGGGCGGCTGCATCAGGCCCAGACGATTGTGATTGGTCTCTATTGTTAACCAGCAAAGGTTCTTCAGGAGAACCTCGATCGAACCCAGAGGTGGAGTAGTACGATTAGCATCGCTTAACAGCAGGATATCATTAAGTTCAAATCAAGTAGAAACAAAACAGAATGACGAGACGTTTGAACACCTATTTCCCCAACTTCACGTGCATCCCCAATCCCGTGACATCACCAGACCCACCAACCAATCAAAACCCCGATGACCATCACCCCCACGGCCGATAAATTTTGGCGGGGAAGAAAAAAAAAAAGAGGCAGAAAATCTATTTTGGACTCGCCCCCCGGAAATCTCCCCATATTGGCTATCTATATTCCGTTGATTTACACCGCGGCTGAAGTAGTATATTAATTGATGTCTTTGACCTCACGTCTGCTTTCTCGTGCCAGAATGCCGCTGTCGAAATTGAATGGAGTCAGGCTCCCCGCTTCTGCGGACCTTCATGGTGCGTCGATCGTATTACCTTACTCTATGGTATACTACCCCTTTGTTACAGCCTTACTGATTAATGTATAGTGCACTTGCGCGAAGGAGATATGATGGAGCTCGTGACGCCCACTATCCGTCAAGGAGGCGTCAACACCGTGTTTGTCATGGTGAGAAAGAGGCCTATTGTGTCTATCTACTCTAGCTAGCCATTAACATCTGCAGCCCAACTTGGTCCCCCCTGTGACCACCGTCGACCGTGCGCTCGAGTACCAGAAGCGCCTTCAGGCCATCGAGCCCAATGTTACATTCCTCATGTCCCTGTACCTCCATGAGACCGTCACCCCTGAGACCATCATCGACGCCAAGAAGCGAGGCATCGCCGGCGTCAAGAGTTACCCGGCCGGTGTCACCACCAACTCCTCCTCCGGTGTCGTGGACTACACCGAGTTTTACCCCGTGTTTGCCGAGATGGAGCGTCAGGACTTGGTCCTGAACCTCCACGGCGAGATTCCTTCCAAGGGTGACGTCACGGTCTTGTCTGCGGAGGAGCGCTTCCTGCCTACGCTGTTGCAGCTGCACGAGCGTTTCCCTAAGCTCCGGATCATCCTGGAGCACTGCACCACGGCGGCGGCTGTCGAGGCCGTCAAGAAATGCGGACCCACGGTGGCGGGTTCCATCACGGCACACCATCTGTCGATCATCATCGACCACTGGGCCGGCGACCCGTTCTGTTTCTGCAAGCCCGTTGCCAAGACGCCCGCTGACCGCGACGCCCTCCTCCGCGCGGCAGTTTCTGGCGACCCCAAGTTCTTCTTTGGCTCGGACAGTGCCCCCCACCCGGCTGCCTCCAAGCGGGGAGGGGACAAGATTGCAGCGGGCGTGTTCACGCAGCCGTACACGACCCAGCTCGTGGTCGACGCCTTCGAGCAAGCGTGCGAGAACGGCGTGTTGAAAGAGGAAGACATCACTCCCCAGGTTATTGAGAATTTCATGAGCAAATTTGGCCGAGCCTTCTACGGCATTGGCGAGGAAACCAAGGAGTTCATTACCCTCCAGAGGAAAGACGAGAAGATCATGGACATCCTGCAGTCGGACAAGGTGGACGTCGTTCCGTTCCGGAGAAACCAGCAGACGTGGAGCGTGTCCTGGTCGGCATAGGTTTTAGATGCTTGCAAACCAAAAATGAGATAGAGAAGATCCATTAAAGGATTTTGTTCATTGATTTTTGCCATCCATCTTAGTCGGTCATTTTGTCGCCTTGGGTAAGCATCCCGGTGACCATCTCCAAGGCGTGCGCCTCGGAGATGTCGATCTTCCGGCCAGCAACGACCGGATTGCCGTTGCTACCGACGGCTAGTTGTCCGGTACGTTCGAGATGCAGTCGGATCCGACTCTCAATGTATTCTCGTCGCTCGTCGCCCTTGGAATCCACCTCCATGGCGTCTCCCGACTTGGGCAGCGTGGCTAGCTTCGGCCGGAGCTGGCGCAGCACCGCCTGCAGAGCGGGAAGTTGGGACAGTATGAACGTTGTGTTGGTTGTGAGGGGCGTGTGTTGAGTGCCGGGGCCAGCGTCTACACCAACCCGTAATTGCCGCGCAGCGGGACTGGAAGTTAAGAAGGAGAGGTCGAGGCCTCGGTGCGCGGAGGGGGTGGTTGTGTCTGCGGGTTGCGCTTCCTCTTTAGTGCCATTTGCGCCATCCGCCGTTTGTACCGTCGATAGAATTGACTGTAGCTGGGAAATAATAGTCTCGTTTCGGGCACTCTCCTGCTTTAGAGCATGATTCAACTTCCTGGTTTCGTGTAGTTTTCTGCGCTGCAGCTGGATCGTCTCCGGGGTCGGCGCATCCGGAGGAGGCGTCAGTTGAAGGTTCTAGGGAGGATCTAGTTAGCGACATGCGCACAGAGACTACTCAACAAAAACAACACGAGTATGCGCGACCAAATGGTAACCAACCTCGTAATGCTTCAGTCTCACCCAACCCAGTAAATCCTCCGGCACGGTGAGGATATTTCGCAGCAGGTAGATCTCGAACTTATCAAACGCCTTGTCAACGGTCGATTCGAGGAGAGTTTCCAGCTGATGCAGTCCATTTTCAATCTCCAACTGCGCTTCTGGATAAACGACGTTGCCGTCCTCGTCGGTGTCAGGGATCGTGGAGCCGTTCTGCGCGTGGCCGAAACCAAGCCGTTCCGGTGGGGTCGACAGGAGACCAGATTCTAAACTCGAGATCGCCTGGTAGATGAGATTGTTGATCGAGTTGATAATATCGTCTATCAAGGACTGGGCTGGGTTAGCAAGTGGGGTGTTGCGCGTTGGTGCAGAGCGCAAAACGATACAACTCGGCGAGGAAGGGTAAACCGACCAAAGGGGTGTAGCTGAAATGCTCTGTGAGCAGAGAAGTTGACGTGTCATTCATCTTGAAAGCGTCCTGGCAGCCTCATCAATAGCAAGGTTGCAAGTTATGGAGGGGCGCAGTGGTGGGTGTGGTCTTTGGAGGATTTCCATGAGGGACGCGTCGGGCGCGACAGCGGGAGAGATGGTGGAGCCAAGCGAACGTTGTTGGGTGCACCGCGGGCGGATCATCATCCCGATCAGGACAAAGTCTCAATACTCTTTTCTTGACATCGATTGGGACATGCCATCAAACCCGACTGCTATGCAGTAAAAAAGTTATAATAAGCACCATAATCATGCTCCACAAGACATGAGTCTACTTTTGCTCAAAGCGCATGGATGAGTCATGCGTTAGCCACCACGCGCTCGATAGTTACCACCACAGCCACAGCCTTTGACTCATCGCAGTAACGACACGATGACTATGATTTGTTGATCGATCGCAAGTGGGTTTGTGCTCCCAGGTCCTCTACATCCCAATCTCCGTTCTTGGAGTTTGTGTCAGAATCTAGGGTGCCGGACCATCCTGCGTAATGCAACACTCAGCTAGACGTGACTCGACTCAGCTAGACGTGACTCGATATTGAAACACTTTCTAGGAAGGAGGGCCTGAGGCGTATTAGGCTTCAGTGGCATGTGTAAATAGGAATCCTTGAAGTTGTATAAAGAAAGCAATTGCTTCAGAGTTAGAATCAAAAGCATCACAAGGACTTTCTTTTATCATTTATATCTCTATAACCGAACACAAAAAAACAGTCCTAAGCCATGGCGTCGGAGCAACACCTAGAAGTCCCGGAACCAGAGCATATTGAGCATCAACCTTCAAAAAGCTCGCCTCAAGAAAGCTCGTCTCCGAGGCGAACTCCATCACCTCACGCAAGTCGATCCCCGAAAAGCACCTGCTACACTTCCCCGGTGAAAGAGAACAAGTTGCGCCCCGTGTCTGGTACAGCCTTCCGACCATTGCAATACCCCTTTTATAGATCTATATTGACCTGGTGAGCACAGATGTGATCAATCGTCTTATTTGGGATGAGAAATATGACAATGATGACTACATAATCGGATACGAAGACCGGTTCGAAGGGCGCTTGGAGCTCGGTCTGGGGTCGTGGAAGAGAGAGACTACGGACGAGGAGTTTATTCCCCAGCATCGCATCATCTATATCAAACGAGTCTCGGATGGCGACGTGGTATGGGACAAGAGACGTAGGATGGACAAGGTTTTTCTCAGTGGGAATTCGGCATTTGACTATCTGGCTTTTTTGACTTGACTGGCAAGCATATGTGGATGGTGGTTAGGCGATTGGGTTATACCATTGTACGGACTTGATTTGTGCATCTATACCTTCGTCGCATCAGGGCTATTCAGAAAGTACTTGTTTATTGCATGGTTGGTATTGATAATGGGCAGGAGTCCCACTTGTTCCTTCCATTTTTCGTGTATAACTTAGAATGACGAAACTCAGAACTCCATATGTGGAAGACGGAATGGGACAAACTAAACAGGAAGGTGCAAAAATGGAGTCCTGCCAGTATCTTATGAGGAACCATGCGTATACCTTTGCTCTTCTCTTCGACATAGCATCAGCGACATCCTTTTCAATCTACCACTCGCTGCAACACGTTAGGGTTGGCTGGACTGTTTTGAGTGTTTAGTGGCCATTCGATCTGGGACATCATGAGCTCGAAACACCATCGATTGGACCTCAGTCGTTTCAAGCGCTACCACAATACTTCCGACTCTTCGAGCAATTTGGACCCCATAATCCCGGTCCTCGAGTCTCCTGTAATGTTTCACGCAATGATGCCTGGGACCGTATCAGAAGTAACTCTAAAGCAGAAGTCCAGCTTGGAGAGAAACCCTATGATCCCGTCGGTGTTCATCGATGAGGCAGAAGAGGAGGAGAGCACGGTTCCAGAAATGAAATCCCGCCCATCTACAGAAACAAAGCCCCCTCGCCTGGTGAATAAAAGCCTCGAGGAGGAGCCGGCTTCTCGAGTGAAGACTCGATATTTCGAGGATGCATTCAGCGCTCGTGGGCCGTTGGTGTCGCCGAGAACCCGGATCAATCAAGAGTCGATCGTTGTAGTGGATATTAAGTACAATACCAGGGTATGTAACAGTGATCAATTGTGCAATTATTTGATCAGGACTGATCAAGACAGATCAAGGATAACGAAACTCTCGTCTCACAAATCACGTCTCGCCTCGCCCAGGTCTACCAGAAACCCACCCCTTTCATGATGGTCACACTCCAGCAGGATGCATGTATCCAATTTGGCGTCTTGGGGTCGCCGGCTTATTTGATGAAGATATATGCGCTGCCATACCTTATAGCCCCAATTACAAACCTTCGCAGCACCATCCTGATTCAGTCGGCCCTTCAAGATTTGCTTCAAGTCCCCCCAAACCGCGGTGTGGTTCTGTACATCCCTGTTCATGAGGAGAACTTTGCAAACAACGGGGTGACTGTTATGGGTGAAATTGCGCGGCTGGAGCGCTATGATCAGGAGACAGGGATTCTCAAAAACATCTCGCGATCGATGACTCGAAGACTGAAATCTAGCAGTGTGACGAGTTCTTCCTCGTGGGGATACGGACATAGATCTCGAGAATCAACTGCTGCGTCTACACCAGGGCACGAGCACCAAGACAGCGAGCTTTCTGCTGGCAGAGAAGACGGAAGGTCCTGGTCTGTCAAAAAGGCACACGATCTGGGACGCCTGCTTTCGCGCAGACGATCGGTTCCTGGATCTTCGGACAATGTTTAGTGACGCATTTCTCTCCTTATCTTCTTTGATGTCCTGGATGGAAACTTGCTGCACTTTATTTTTTGGGTTCAGAGACAAAAAGACGAAAGGCGTGCATATTAATAGATGTTGTATGGATAAATGAGTTTGAGTATACCATAGCTCGTGTGAAATGACTCAATGACGTGCTGTTGCCTGTTATTTAGGTTGCTATTCCGCTTGGCCAATACGAGTTGTTCGACGCTATGCACTTTTTTCACCCATCCGTTATTTCTCCTGTTTCTACATTCCATATAAATTTCTCCCATCCCCACCTGCTACATAGCACGCTTGTCTCAAGATTCTATCCATCCGTCCACTACGAATTGCCTTCAGGACATCCAGTCACAATGAGCTCTAGCCCAAGCAGCAAGATAACTGAAGTTCAAGGCGATCTCTTCGACGCACCAGACGGAGCGGCCTTGATTCGTATGTCTTTCTTCCCCACTATAGCAGGAGAGCACACGAGCTAATCGTCTTCTCACTGGTCAGATGCATGTAACTGCCAAGGAAGCTGGGGGAAGGGGATCGCTGAAGCGTTTAAGAAAAAGGCAGGTCTCAGGTAAAACCTCTCTGGTTGCAGCTCATTGATAACAAAGAACCAATGGAGTGCAGTATCCTGCTGCTTTCAAGATTTACAGAACTCACTGTCAAAATTATCTCAAGAACAAGCAATTTCTGACGACCGAGACTGTGAACACCGGTGAAACACAACAGCAAAAGAACACTAGAAAAATACAACTGCCAATTGGCACAGCGCTCATCATCCCACCGCAGGAAGAAGACTACAAAGGAGACCACAGGAAAAAACGACACTGGATCATCTGTCTTTTCACGTCGAGAGGCTTTGGGCGCTCTGTCAGCCCGCCTGCCGTTATTTTACAGAACACGGCACTCGCGGTTGCAGACACGAAAACCCAGTTAGAGAAATTACGGTCTCAACCCGACAATAAAGACCCCGCAAATATACCTCTGGGAGAGCTACGATCATGTCGATTTAACTCGGGGCTGTTTGGAGTGGACTGGAAGTTGTCTAGGGAGGTGTTGGAAGAGGCGGGGTTGGAAGTGACGGTCGTGAGACCACAAGGGGAACCACTTGGTCTTTAAGTCTACTTGGACTATATTTTGGTATCCTCAAGGACACTTGATACAGATAATTGAGTGTTGTGACATACTCCGTAATTGTAGAAAATGACGTCAAATATAAGCAGTATCACATGACGACGCGTTGTGACCCACGCGTATCTATCCGCATCTATCGTGGCATTTCATCTCGTCTCATTTCATCCCCGTCAGGCCAAAAGAAAAACCAATTCTACCGAATAAGATCCACGAATCTACGTAGGACTTATTTCTTCTACTGTTAGTCGCAATGCCTCCCGAAAGACAACCCCCCCAAAAGAGACGCCGCCTTCCCTTCAATCCTCCAAGTCGCGCATCCCCAAGCGCCAGCGCCGGCCCCTCCACGAGCACATCCAAAGCGAAACCTAAAACGAAGCCCTCCAAGCCCACCGATCCCACAACATCAAAAGAAACAACAGCAGCACCCGCCTCATCCTCATCATCTAAACCAAAAGCCAAACGCTCGCAACCCGCGCAACCAAAAGAAAAAACGCAATCACAAAAACAAAAAGACAAGCGGCCCGCGCGCACCGAAAGCCCACCACCCTCCGCTTCGGGGTCGGCATCCGGCTCCGAAGCAGGCAGCAGCAGCAACGGTAGCATCAGCAGCCGCGAACCCTCCCCAGAGCCAGACTACATCCTCGCGGAGATAACAGACGCGCAGCCCGAAGCCGACGATGTCCTCTCGAGTGAGCCTGCCATTCCGACGAAGCTGCTCACGCGGTTGCTGCACCAGCATTTCCAGAATCCGAAGACGAAGGTGGCGAAGGAGGCGAATTCGGTTATCGCTAAGTATGTGGATGTCTTTGTGAGGGAGGCGTTGGCGAGGGCGGCGTATGAGAGGGCGGAGGGTGGTGGGGGTGATGGGTTTTTGGAGGTTTGTTTCTTTCTTTTCCCCCTTTACACTTACACCTTTTTATTATTATTTGGAACTGTTACTGACGTGTTGACATAGGTTGAGGATCTTGAGAAGATGGCGCCGCAACTTACGATGGATTTCTGAGTACACCGTTGTTGATAGGGGATTGTTTGGAGTTCGGGCGGGCTGGGTTTTTCTGTATTTGAGTTCGTGATACCAATTGTTTTCAGGCCTACCAATTGATCAGATGAATTCCTGGTCACGCGTAATAGGACACATGTATTGGCAATTATCTAACTAGCAGACGCTATGCAATTCTAGTCTCTAAGTATATACTAACATGAGCAGTTCACGCCCAACGCTCAACCCAAAATAATATGATATCCCATACTCCTGAACCACATACGCTTTGTTCAGCCGCTCACCAAACGGTCTGGTGTTGCCGTAGCCGAATCCTGCTCTACTGGCTTGTCAGAGGGCGCGGCAGTTCCCTCCGTATTCGGGATCTTCTCTTTGTCCGAAGGCTCATCGCCTGAGGCAGGCTTGTTCTCCTTGCCCTTCCCCTTCTTCTTCGCCGTGAGTGCCCCAAGTTCCATAGCTTCTTCAGGCAGAGGTCGAATGTGGGGTTGACAAATCCAAAACGGCCGCCCGTACTCGGCAATTGTCGCTTTGGAGCCCTTCAAATCGGCATCTGCGGGTGTCTCAAAACGCTCCGGGTGCTCCTCGTACTCGTCCAGACCTGCCTTGACCGCTTTCTCGGTCAGCGACAGAACGCGTTCAAAGGAAACCATGTCGCCGGGCCTTGAGGCTGCTAGCGCGTCGCGGACATTCGTGTGCACGGAGACCATCGGTCGGAGGAGTTGGAAGAGATGGCCTTGCATGACCCCTAAGCTAGGAGAGGCCGGTCTCTTGTTCCTTTCCCGCTTCTGCCTCTTCTTTGGTGGGCCCTCGCTTTCCTCTTCGGCGACTGTATCGGCTTCCGGTTCGGGTTGTTCGGGATCGGATGGAAGGTAGAGTGGCTTCCGTTCTGGTGCTGGCTGTTCTAGAACATATTTATAGATGATGTCGAGATACCGACGGAACACCGCGTCAATTCGGTAACCGCCTCGCCCGTCTCGACCGCGCCAGTATTCTCGTCCGTGAGTGCCTTCTGCAGGCGGCTTACTGAAGACACTCGGGTCCGACAGGTTACCTTCAGCGCTCATGACGCCATCAGCGCCCGTTTCTTCAAGGCAGCGCTCCAGATCACCGTAGCTCAAGATGTTGCCGTTGGCGAAAATAACGGTATCTGGCGGCAAATTGTCCCGCAAATACCGGATATAACTCCAATCTGCGATGCCAGTGTTGTGACCCTTCTGCTCCCTCGTGCGTCCATGCAGCGTTATGATGCTTGCACCCGCGGACAGAATCATCTTGGCATATTCCAATGTTTTCTCCTTGGTCTCTTGGATTCTAAATTTGGCAGTCACTGGGATCGGCAACTCGTTGTGTAACCGGTTGATCAATTTGTAGATCAGGTCCCAATCCTCCTGCAGAAACGCTCCGTAATGTCCCTTTCTCGCGATCCCCTGCGGGCACCCTAGGTTCAAATCCACCGCATCGCAATATGGTGCAACGTGCTTAGACGCTTCCAGGAACTCATCCGGGTTGTTAGTGCAGAACTGCACAAAGAGCGGTCGATCGATCGAGGGGTTGCCATCGAGGTAGGGAGTGTTGTTTTCGTCGCCGTTTTCTGCGCGAGTAGGTCTAAAGCACGAGTCACGATGACCCGCATTCTCGCCAAATAATCGCGCATGATACATAGGAGAGTAAGAAAGCAGTGGGGTCGGACTATCGGGTGGCATAAAGGATCGGGTGAGCATGCGCCAGGCCTATTTCAATAAAAATTGGTCAGTGAATAATTCGCAACGAGTGGATAAGAACACATACAAACTCAGACCGATCCACCATAGGCGCAACGATGTACTTTGGGCTCCCAAGACTCTTATAGAACTCTCTGCCCAGCAATTTCTTCTTGGGCTCAGAACTCAGCTTCGCCGGCGCATTCTGCGCTTCGGCGGGGGCTTGCTGCGGAGCCTGGGTTTCGGGAACAGCCATTTTCAGGATCTTTGAGCGTTCAACGGCCGGTAAAAAGCGCCCCAGGAGGGGGACAAGATGTCGTAGTATGCCTATATTTGCGAATGGAGAACAAACACAGTTAAAAGGGCGAAGAGGCGCTGTCGCTATTCATGACCGAAGATTTCCTCTCAATCGGGAATCGGTCTTTTTTTTTGGCGGCGTTATCGCGGAACGGACTATATTTACCCCGCCACCTTTATCTTATCTGAGGCTTGGCGTCCGTTCCACCGCATTGAGTGGGATTTATCTACATGACAACGGACTTGCTCTTGGGCAGTCAATTGTTTAGTATAAGATGCGCATTATGAACATAATAAGCTTTCTATGATCCCTAGACATTTTTGATTTACTGTATTTCAATCACAGTCTAAATTGTGCATATCACGGCCAGTAGTCTGTCGTGTATCAATAATGGACTTTACTGGAGGGGGTGAATCTCCCGCTATCTTCTACACACTGGATATCAACTGACTCATGAATCAGTATCACCGTCGATATCACTATCTGACGATGGGACATATGCGGCCCAGATTAATGGAAAAGAAATTTTCGTCCATCTCAATCCAACCTCATCACAATTCAAGGATGTACAAACCGTCAAGGTCAAAGAAAACACCACCAAATTCTTAAAATTCTCACGACAAGAGCCTGTCTCATCGCCCGGGGACAATCGGGAGCCCGGAAGACGCTTGCTTCATGCAAGCGATACGCGTCTCCTCGTTTGGCAGCTCGATCCGCTAGACCTGCATGCTGAAATCGAAAGTCTCGAGCCGGGGTTCATGAACATCGATTTCGGCGGCGACTCCAACGAGGTCATCGTCTTCCACGCATGGAACACCAAATTAACCATTTTTGGGCTAGACACTGGTCACAGCCAGGTTATCAAGAGTCCGAAATTCGCCCACTATTATGGCTTCGGCTACCGGCCGAGGACCCGAGAATTGGCGGTTCTCCTCAAGCCCGACACTACAGACATCCTCACGATTCACGGGTATCGATCCTATGAAGTGATTGGGCGCTCGGTACTCCCTACAGTTGATGCGCAGGGCTTGAAGTGGAGCCCGGATGGGCGATGGATTGCCGTTTGGGATGCTGCTAGCTGCGGCACCAAGGTTTTGATCTTCACGGCTGATGGACAGCTGTTTAGAACGTACACTGGTCCTCCGGGGGTGGACGATTCCTTTGATCTAGGCGTCCGAGGCCTTGAATGGGGACCTGTCGATGGTGGAAGAGGTGCGTCAGAGTATCTGGCTGTTGCAAAGGTTGATGGATCAGTCGACTTGCTGAGCACCAAAACCGTGAGAACACCTTAACTGCCTCTACATATCCTGGGGAGAATGTATCTGACTGTTATATTTCCAGTTTTCCTGCTCGACCTCCCTCTCGCACAGTTTCCAGATCGACCAACACCCCCCAACCGTCTGGAGCGAACGATACGCCAACGACGGCAGTCTCGAATACGGCGATTGTTCCGGGCCCCAAGCATTCAGCATCATCACAGAGCCAACGGGCTCCCCACGGGGCGTCTCCCTGATCGCATTCAACTCTAACGGCAACCTTCTAACGACAGTTGACCAAAACCGGCCAAACATCGTATGGATCTGGGAGCTGGGACAGACGACCGCTCTGGTCTCGATATTGGTCCATGAACACCCTGTTAGACAGATAGTGTGGCATCCTTCGCAAACGCGATTACTTACCACCACATCCAATAGTGCCGTGGCTGCTGTTCGCCACTGGTGCCCTTCCCGCCAACCTTCAATTAATCCGGTCCATGCTGCTCACAGTGATAGTGGGAGGTATGATGTGCGGTGGCTTCCGCCGGCGTTGGATGAGGATGATGCGCCGGCAATATGGTTCGGGACGCAGGAAGAATACGTGCTTGGGCAAATTGGGGATGATGGGTTTACATTGTTGAATGCTATTAGCAATAAGGGAGGGGCTAATAAATGATCTGCCTATCAATCATTAATGGGTATGTCCCCAGCATTAACTGCATGAAACACAAATTAATTAGCAAATTATTTGTTCTAATTAGCCCCAATGTCACATCTGTATTCGCCTATGTATAGATCAAAGTGGGAACTAGCAATCGCACAGCTTCAATGGCTGATGAGCCTGCGGACGCTTTGAATACCAGCTCATTCCTCGTATTCAGCTTCGCCGGCATCAATTTCACATGTCGCGTCTTGTAAGATAGTATACAGGGCACCGACCTGATAAATATACCCATGAAGACGAGCACAAACTCGAGTTCGAATCCGGCGACGGGGAAGTATTGGGTGAGCGTAAGGCCGCTGCCCAGAATAAGCACCGTTGGGTCCAAATTTAAGCTCAACCGCGTAGCAATCTTCTGGATTTATACGAGCACCTCCACCCACAATGGATTCAAGATGAAGCAAGCCCCAGTAATTTTGCGAGAAGTAATCCCCGTCGTGATCTCCCACTGCAAGGCGAGAACAATCTAAACCATTTCGTAACACCATACCCATAGAGGAGCTAATAGTGACTCAGGAATGGTTCTGACGGAGCCGAATCATCTCCTGCAGGTTTCGCAACACCGCAGAAGGCTCGAGCGCCTCTGAAGTTGGTTCGTAGTCATCTAAGCCTTCCAATGTAGCATAATGTGAGGAAGATTCCCCACTGAGCGTCGAGTCATGGTTGATTGCATCTGACGCTTGGTATAGATTGGTCGGCTGCCTAAAGGTTTCTCTTCGCAGAATCTGGAGAACAAGCCTACTTTGCGGAAGAATCACCTGTTTTACTTTTGGCCTTCTGAAAGGTCCGGCTGGTCTTGATGTGTCTGTTTGCTCACCACCGGCGCGTTTTCGGCATTCTTCCACCGCAGCCGACAGCAAATGGTTAAACCGTTCCGGACTCGTCATGCTCTGGAAAAGTTCCATGAATATATTCGCGATGGGCCATGTCCGAGATAAGATTTCCACTATTTCGAGATTGGCTTCGAGTTTCGATCGAATCGCGTGAAGGAGAGACGGCATCGAAGCCTCCATTTGACACTTGAGAGTGACAAAGGACACGACGGCATGGCAGATACTAGTTGTAATTAGCTATTGTTCGGATGAAGACCAGAGTCAAAGCTTACATAAAAGAAGGGCTGTACTGGAGCTCGTCGTGGGACTGTAGATTTTCTAGAATTGAGATTACGGTCGAAGCGGAATGAATTGCTGAGCTTCGTGACTCCACGGAAGACGCTGGTGCCTGTAAGAGGTGCAACTGGCATACAAGTGTACTGCTATACATTAGCGACGAAGAAAATGCTTATTTTGACGAAGTAATACATACTGAAAAGTAGAAAATAACATGGCGGATAAGAAGTTATGGCGCGATTGCCTCCACTCCAGTTGTGGTGGACAAGATACAAGCCACTCGTTCAAGCCAAGCTCGCACTGGGCGGTCTCAGCTTGTCGACTAGCCTGATCTGACCGAGACGACAATTTTGAACATAGGCCTAGATCCATGAGTTGACAGAGCTTGACATACTGGATGAAGAATCGCGCTCCGAGTTCATCAGTAGGGTACTCGATTTGGAGCTCTTCATCGTGCTCAATAAAGTCGTTCTCTGTTAACTCTTCCACTGTGCAGTCATCTGCGTGAATATGTAGTGGACGACCAAATGCTGCAGCAACAGAGCGATCTCGCGTGTAGAGAGTCCACCAGATGCGCTTCCACAGACCTTGCTTTGGCTGACTGAGATTCAAATACTTTTCTCTGCAGCATTTGTGAGCATTCGCAATTTACAGAGATTTGATATCTCGTTACCTCTCGTGAAATCCTAGTTCCTGTGCTAAAGCAATCCCCAGCCGACTCCAATAAAAGAGACCACTTTCTGTCAGATCTATGACAGGTCAACACTTTATAACAACTAACTCGCAGGATGTCTTACCATCAAGACCATCCCAGTAGACCCCCAGAAGAGTCACAGACTGTATTACAATAAGGAGATCCTGCTCATACCCAGCATCATACAGTGCTTTCGCTTTTTTGTAGAACCAGCGCGGTGAAACTGCTGTAATTGTTTGACTTTGTTGACCCGTTATGAATCGAGATGCCACAGTGAACATTGCCTGCAGCAAAAGAATCGACGGACGCTCTTCAGTATGGTGATAGCGTTTCATAAAATCATGCCGATTCACCACGGGCAAGATTGGAGATACCCATCTGAAGAAGACATCCACCAGGACGTCGCAGGTAGCCTTGGGGGGCAAGCCGAAGGCATCTCTCCGCTCTAGAATCTCGAGCTCCAGTGGCTCCAGGTGGGCTGGATGCCTACCCTGATTTAGCCGCTCCATATTTTATTATCTCAGAATATAATACATGTCGAAGAGCTGATGGCATACGGCCTAGATGCGAGGCTGGTGGTGTAAGTTGATCGCAACGTACCTGAACAACCCTTCTCCACCACGGTATACCTCGGTACGCGAATATTCATTATTATTGGCCACGATGCTTACATAACACATTTGGTCATGCACACCGCCTGGCAGAATCCTTTTATCGCATCGATTTCCAGCTTTGCCCTCTATCAACATTCAACTAATCGTTCGATCATTGCTTTCCCTTATCTCTGCGCAACAATGTCAACCAAACCGGTATCTCAGGATCCTGAAATGGAGCTAGATGACGACCAGTATGACTCGGAGGCGGACGAAGACTTCAAGCTCGACGGCCAGGATGATGAGGTGTTGTCTTCCGATTCCGATGAGGAGGCCAGCAAGAAACGAAAGGCAGAAACAGAAAACGCTGCGCTAGATTCTGGAGACGAGGCTACGATAACGAAAGCAAAATCGAGAAAGGAGAAAAAAAGAAAGGGGAATAAGTCCAAGGCTAAAGGCGACGATGAAGACGATCTGGATCTCGATGACGACGAGGGTGGTCCGGGAGGGTTTGTACGGACACGCGCCATGAAGATGCAAATGTAGGGTCGTTGAATCGTGGATCACAAGGAAATATTCTAACCATCCTGCATTTAGGAAGGAAGAGCGAAAGCCACTTGCTAAAATCGATGGCGCAACAGTCGACGTTGACGCGTTATGGGCCAAGATGAACGAGCGCGACTCTGAATCCCCCGCGGCACCTTCGCATACCGAGAAAACAGACGATAACATGGCGGACGGAGAAAACCAAGACATCAGTATGCGCGAGCACAGAGCACCAATCGAGGAGACACAGCAGAAACCCCAGCATACGGATGAGATAATAAAGATCAAACGGACGTATGAATTTGCAGGGGAGATGATCACCGAAGAGAAGGTCGTTTCGAAGGACTCGGCCGAAGCAAGGCTCTTTCTAGCAAACGAACATAATTCAGGAGCGGTGGCCACTAATGCTGAGGATGACGCGAAGGGAATACCGGGCATCAAACTGCGCAGGCCACTTCGCAAGGTCTCGCGATTTGACCCTAACCCCACCGGAGCTATCAAAAAGAGCTGGGAGAAGCAGTCGATCGATGCGACAGGCCAGGAGGAGAATGCTCGTGGCCCGAAGATCAATACGGTCGAGAAGTCGCGCCTGGACTGGGCTGCATACGTGGATCAGGCTGGCATCCGGGACGAGCTCACCGTCCACAGCAGAGCCAAAGAGGGCTTCCTTGGTCGTATGGACTTCTTGGACCGTGTTGGCGCCAAGGAGGACGAAGACAGGAGAAATGTCCGGTTGAAGGGGATCTAGGGGTTCTCACGAACTCCTGTTTACGCCTTTACTTCTACTGGATATACCCAAGATGTACTTCCAGTAGACTGGCTTTATGGCCCTTATCCATAGCGGATGGCTGCAGGATGAACTCGTGGGCGTACCCGTTTATCCCGCCTACGGGTAGCCCTGTCGCCCCGAGACCAAAATCCCCGGAATTGCCCAACCAACAAACCCCAAAATCTATTGGATTTCCACGGAAGGTCCAGTATAATTGATTGACAAGTTGAACATGTGTGCGGGCAGCCAACTAATAGTGTCGAGTTGACACGACACCAGAACAACCAGGCATGATTGAATATCTTGTATCCTGCCCAACCACAGCGCATGTCCAATTACGGACAGCTTTCAGTCCAGAGAGAGTGTCGCAAAAATCGCAAGACAACACGAAAACTTTCATTCTGGTTTGCGTGGGCTCCGGTTTCCTATCATATTGGACCATGTCACACTATAAGCGTTTTTTCCTACGCGAAAAACGAGTCTGAATGGACAGTGGACCCGTCCAGCAAGATATATCATTTTCTCAAGCTGTTATGATCAAAGTCTCGTTCAAGAGAACAATGAAGCAGCCATTGTCACTCAGTCTAGAAAGCCGTCGAATACAGCTGCAGTATACGAGCAGAGGTTGCGCGTACTACCCCTCAGTTGATAGCTCTCCACGGGACGAAGCTCGACAATGACAACCGTGTTATTGGATATTTAGAATCTCGATGGGTGGGAAATTGGTATACAGTGGCCTTTCATTTGTACAGATCTCAGTGTTGCAATGGTTTTCATGAATCTAATACTAGGGTCACATGCGGTCTCCAGTTAAGCCAATACATACAAATTTCCCCGATCGAATCTCAAACCCTGTCAGAATTTACAGATTGATACAAGACCCGCTCTAAAAACAGCTGGATTGATCACTTCGCAGCCACTGGGGAAGCCCGTACGCCTTTCTTGCCGGGGACCGCCTCACAGGAATCGTGGCACTCGTGGTAATTTACTTGGGCAGATATTTGATGCCGTCCTTAGGGCAACCAGAATCGGCCACTATGGCAAGTCAGCTCTTTGCTCATGTACGTCCGAAAGGAGTCGGGAAAGAAATATATATGGAACTTACGAGGCTCAGCCGGCTCGTACTTGCCGTCAATGGCATTGCCCTGGACGTTGTAGAAGTACCAGGCCTGGTTCAGGGCGCCGCTGTCGCAGCTGACGGAGGGCTTCTTGCCGCCATGCAGCTTAGCCAAGGCAGCCTCAATCTCCGAGAGCTCGTAGGTCTTGGACTCATCGGGTTTGATGCCAGCATCGGCGAGGGCCTGCGCTGGGGGTCAGCATCTCTGATATTTCTTGTTTCGTTATGGTTGCTTTGGGATTGATAGACTGTGGGCCTATCGGGTCGGACCTACCTTGTAGGTGTCCAATTTCTTGAACAGATCGACGGCCTTCTGGAAATAATCGCCCACCTCCACCTGGGGGGTGTACTTTTCATAGCAGTCGGGCTCGATGGTGTTGACACAAGTGCCTGCATCATGTACGTCAGTGACTATATCAACCGAAACGGATAACCAGGCATAGCTGGGGAGTTAGTACGTACCGTGCTTGTCCCACTCATGGCTCCAGAAGGTCTCATCATCTCCCTTGTAATCCTTCCAGTACTTGTTCATATCGGCCAACAGCTCGGTACGCTCCTGTCCCTCGAGGATGTCCGTGATATTCGAGTACTCACGGCTGTTGTCGCAGTTGGACTCGTAGGTGCCGTCGCAGTTATCGGGCCTGGCTTATCGTTAGTAATCGCAGCCAAATTACAAAGGCTAGCAGGGTCTGACTGACCAGAGACCGTGGAGAGTCCACGAATCATCGGGACCGGTCACGGGGTCAGTATCCCAGAACTGGGTCAGCAGAAGCGCACCGCCAGGCGCATTGAAGCAGCAGCTGGCCTTGGCGTCACCCTGGCAGCTGAGCGGGGTGTCGGCCTCGCAGGCCTTAGGGCCAGCCAGGACACCTGCGACGAGGGTGCTGAAGGCAAAGATGCCCATCGGCTTCGATACTGTACGGGTCATATTGGCGGTTTTGTGGCTTTTGTCAATGATAGCGACCGATTTGTGGGGGAGGAGCGCCTAGGAACAATCGGAATTGAGGGATGGTTGGCACATGGCTCAATTTATGTCTTTTCCTTTCCCATTGTTCATGTCACCAAACGTCTGACCGCGACTTGGCCAGCGCTGCGGACAATTAACATCGAACGTTGCAGACAACATCACATGTTCTGGTAAGCGCCTGCTGATTCGGCAGCAGTTGTGATTGAAGCGGAGATCCCAAAGGCGATGGACGATCGGATGTCACCTTTCCAGACTTCTCGTCTCTTGGTTAATCTCGTGCTAAAACAGGGCCCAGCCAATGGTGCGACGCGCAGCTCGTCTGCAGTTAGCGTCCGGCGATGGCCGTCGGGGGGCCATCGGACGAGACTCAGGCACTGGGCGGGAACGAAGTGCACCATAGCGCTGAATTAGGGAATTGATGATCACGGAGTACCCCAGGGTCATCTAAATACAGGGCCATGTATCAAAGCGTTGCATCGTGTAGTCTTTCCTCGCTGTATTTTGCATTTGTTTCGTTGTGTTATTTGAGGTGATCGTCATAGGATTTCCGTGAAACTAATTGACAGCTTCACTCGGGATTGTCAGATTGCGCGAAATCAAACGAATCAACAACGGTTTCTTTCGTATGGTACCTTTTTGTTAATATAATAAAAGCATACTAGCGGTCTCTCTCAATGAGGGAGCTTGCGCAGCAGTTGTCAGCCAGGATAGCCTGCCCGCAACTTCGAGCAGGGTATGATACGAAGATGGAGTTGCATTTGGGAGACTTATCCCCGCACTGGAGACAGGGGTCATGCTTGACAGGCCATCAATCAAAATAAAACCAAGCGATAAGCTTCGCTCGACGGGTTAGTGGGCTGTCTCGTCCACTTCGAGCGTCAGTGGCTGAGCTGACGGAGATTCCCAATATGAATAGTCTGAAGTCATCAACAGATATGGACTACACCCATGTTAACAAGATCTATCAGATCAGAATGGGGTCCGTGTCCCATGAGACATCTTGAAGATACAGATCAGAAACATAACGAACTTTGGGCCAGAAGAATGACGTGACGATTGCCGGCAAGTCAATAGGAGAGTCTGCTATTTCAGCCGCGATTTGCTACTATTGTTGGCCTGGGGTCTCAGGCCGATACCAATATCGACACTACGGTCATCTAAGCCTATTTAGCTATGTCCCAATATCTTCATTTTTTTTGTCGAGATTTATTTGCAGCATTCCTCACACCTGAACCATGTGCTTGTTGATTTTCATATACCCGTCTATGAGTCAAACTCTGACTCACAGTCGGCGATATCGGCAAACTAACCATGCTTAACTGGATGCGATACGGCGCAACAGGGCTTCAAATCTCCAGCGACTTGAAAACTCACACCACTAATCCATAGACCAATCCTATAACACAATCTCAACTCGTGATCAGGCTCGCAACCAATCATCAGTTGACCCCGGGCAACGTGACGCGACATCCATCCACCGTCGCATACATCCATGATATTGCACAAAGCCTGTATTCCTCCGCACATGTACTAGGTATCCAGAAACGATGGAAGAAACTGCAGAAGCAAGTCCCTTTCGCATCATCACGGCTGAAACACCAGCCCACACCACCGCCACCAAAGCCCTCTTCACAGCCTACGCCGAGTGGCTCAACCTAGACCTCACCTTCCAAGGCTTCACCGAGGAGCTCGAATCCCTCCCGGGAAAATACAGCGCTCCTCAGGGCGAGATCCTCCTCGCATATAGCACTACCAAGCCCAACCAGCCCCTCGGATGCGTGGCCGTCCGCCCGCTGCCGACCAATTCCGGCGTGGATGTGGATGCAAACGCAAACGCAAACGCCACGGCGACATGCTGTGAGATGAAGCGGCTGTTTGTCTCGCCCGAGGCACGCGGCATGGGGCTGGGCAAGGCGTTGGTGGATGCTATTGTGCAGCGGGCGAGGGGGCTGGGGTATCGAGAGATGCGGCTCGACACGCTCCCTATCATGGCGGGCGCGATTGGGTTGTACCGGCGGGCTGGGTTTGGGGAGATCGCGGCTTACTATGAGACGCCGTTGGAGGGGACGTTGTTTCTGGGGCTGAAACTGTCTTGATCTGCTTCTTGATTTTACTTTCCTAGACTGGGCATGTTCGGTCATGGTGCGATATAATTGATTGTATAGCAGCTATATGGAAGAAGAAAATGAACCGTTCATATACGAAGACAAGGCAAGCAAACAAACGTCTCGATGAAACTCAGACTGTTGAGCTTGATATTTTAATGGACACCCACCGCAGGGGTCTGCATCGTGCCAGAAAGAAGGATAGTCATCATAGTAATGCGAGACGTTTGTTTTCTTGCTTTGCTTTGCGTCGGTTATGGGCCCACGATCGGAGGGGTCTTAATCCTGCACATTAACAGGTTGATAGCCTGACTCTCGATCATTGAACATCCGATAGATGAAGTATCAAGTACCTAGTTACTTGGATCCAGTTGTTCACTGCGGTTTGGCGGTCATTATTGAGAAACGCACGATGAATGCTGTTGCTTGGAACAGAATTTGTTTCGCGATTGTGGGCTTATAAAGGCGAGGTTATGTAAGCGCGCTAGTTTAGTGCCTTTCCAACTGGGCATAGTTATGCACATGACTAATACAAATATTATGCACTGCATAATGTGTATAGAAACAGTGCTCTTTATTTCCATTGTCGTCAACAGTAGGCTTCAATATACCTCAGTAAGTTCCTCATCTGTCCGTGTGAATTTTGAACTCGTTAATATAAGTCTTTCGAGAATATCAAGGCTATCCAGACTATCCAGATATTAACACTAGCTTCGCACACAGTCTAGCCTCACCAAAGACTTAACGCAATAATTGAAATGAGAACCAACCGACGCGCCTCAAACCTGCTGTCCTGCCAAGTGCGAGGCGACAGCCACACTTTCGTGGCTGAAAACTTGATTTTTTTTGATCCTTCCGGACATTGTCCCACAGAAATTTCCCTACAAGGTCCCACCAAACACCGAGGGGAGGCTTCAAGCAGACTATCGACCCAATATTTTCCAGATGGGCGCATGTGAGATCACATATCACAAGGTGAGACTCGAGACACCTTGCTATGGAGTCAGTACGCGGGCTTAGCAACTCACTTGGCTTGAAGATTGAATCAATGGGTTTGATCTGCGCATTCGCCCTTTTCTCTTCATCATGTGTGGTTTCTTTGCGTCAATACCGTAATGGGGCTATAGTCACACCATCGGACCGATTATCTCCAATAACCAGCCTCTGCCCTGTTCTCATGTGGCAAGATCAAGCTTACTTTCATAAAAACAATATTGATAGAAAATCAGGAAATAGAAATGGAAGCCCAACTGAATGGAAGGAAGAGAACGAGATCAGGAGGGCCCAAGAGCACAATATCAGAGCAGGTGGATCGACAGAAGGAGTCGGTGAGACTATTTTGATTATCTGTTTCTTCTTTTGCATCGAGAAACCAATGGGAAATTAGATGCTGTCTCCGAGTTCAAACCATCCCGGTCAGGTCTCCGATGCATGAGGAAGAAAGGCAGCCAAATAGTAGAAGGCGCAGGAGCGGATTGTGAGTTTCTTGGCGAGTTATTGTCTCAGGCCACCTCCAATTCTGGATAAGAACCTAATGTACTCAGCCAGCCAAGACTGGTGTACATGCACACCAGGTTGGAGCACGACCGGGCTGGCCAGCTGGCCATCCCCTGGCATTCCACGGCTTCGATCTGCTTTCTCTCAGCCTTCCTGAGATTTCCCACGCAGTATCTACTACACGATAGGTTGGCAATGGTCGGCAGTTGCACGGAGCTCAACTTTCAGGGTAGGATTGGGTGGCTGGTCGTTGGAGATGAGATCATGGATGCATATCTAGTAGGATTACTACCGTGCAATTGATTGCTACGGCCGGATTCTCGAGGTGCATGCCTTGCCATGCTGTACGAGTACAACACCAACCATCGTTTCATTAATTGGCTTAATTGATTCATTAGCCCACGAGCTATTGTTTTTTAATAACTCAAAGGGCCGAGAGCTCCGGCGAAGCTTGTTTACAGAAGGCAGAAAGTACACACATACATGGTGAGGTAGTATCGGCGAAGTCGGCATGCATGGTCGGTATGTGACCACACCGCCAGGCTTGGGACCTTAGCATACTCGGCATGATTAACCTATTATAATTCCATCAATAACCTGCAGTAATCTGGCAATACAGCAGAATATCTGTATTCAGTCTAGTGCCTACATCCAAACTTTCCACAACACCGCCCCGTCCCCTATTCAAGGCACACGCTGCACAGCACCTGAATACCCCCACAATCCATCCTCGAATCCGACTAGCGCAAGAAGGCTCTAGATCCAAAAGAGGGACAGAGAGAGATCTATTTGCAATTCTGCAGGTCCAGTCTCCGATTTCCCTCCCAGGATTAATCTATTAGCACATAGTTAGCCCACGAAGCACGTCCACATCATGGATAAAATATCCTGCCAATCAGTTCAATTTATGGGCCTCCTGCCAAGATACCAAGTCAGCCGAATAGTTCACTGCCGTCGATCATCTGTGCGAGATGCTGCAGTGCGACATCACACCGAACAGGGATAGGGATATGCGCATTCTTGGGGCGTGGCAGTGGGAATTAGTACAACGAACTACGGACCACTCGGTGTAACAAATGGGAATGATGCTACAGATGCTTCCCAGACATTGAAATGCTATCTGAAGTAGGTGGCTTAGTGCCAGTGATCTACGGATACTAGGTACAGTCCTCCTGGTGATCGACTCGCAGCGTGAGGCTGTCGGGCACCTTGCCCTCGAAGTAGACTCAAGGTGTATGATAGTAGTGCCAGGTGTTTATTACTTTTGTCGATCAGATAAACCAATCCAGCTCATTTCTATTTATTTCAAATGGGAATAAAGTAAACAAAATGATAAACATCAACAACAGGAAAATGACACAGCTTGCGATTTCATAGAAATAGAAACACATATCCTGGCATGTGGGACCATTAGAGGCGTTAAGCTCCATGAATATCCAGGTATCCGGGATTCTTGGCCCAGTCATGTGGCGTTCATTCTTCTTTTATTATTATTTTTAGTATTATTATTATTTCGTATTACTACTCTGTATTACAATTAGTATTATAATTGTTGTTATCATTGCTGAAGATGCCATTGTTGTATTTTCCTTTACCCTATTCTATCAAGTCAAATCACCAAGTATATGCTCGTCTCTTACTCCATAAATAAAGACCAAGTATTATATCTACTTGAAGGCCACCACAACCTGGCAGTGACACTCACCACTAACCTAACGGGAGTAGTACCCAGTTGTACTCCATAGCGCAGCGCATATTAACAGCTAGTATCGACCTATCCACTAAGACCCAGACCCAGTATTCGGTATGTATGTATGCATGTATGTCACTGACTGTATGCGCAGATCCCACCTTACCTACCTACTCACATAAACCATGTTCATACATCATGGACAGACAGCGATGGATAGACACCGTTACTATGGAATGGAAATGCAACTGCAATACTACCCACCCTCTTGCCCACGCTCGTCACTCAGTAGCATTGACCAGTAGTCGAATACTTCACAGCCTATAGGTGGCTGAAACAAGTCGACAAAATTAGGTCAAAGTATCCGTACGAGGACCAAGCACCTAGATACCTATTATTGCTACTGTGCCCGAGGTCACTACTACTATGTTGCCCCATTCTCGGGCACCAGTCACTATCTAGTAGGTACCTAGTCTAGTGGTAATCCACCAATAAGGTAAACACACTGCCCATCCAAGACAAGACGGAATGTGGAGCACAACTCGAAGATGAACCAAACAAATAGCACCCCTGGGAAATGAACCCACTGCGGGAATGATCGCGGATCGACGGTCAATCACTGCCCTGAAGGATGACACCGGCATTACACCCGTGCGTCGTATATGACACCGTCTGATATCGATCGTCGTCTGATCTACTCTGCTTTGCGTTTTAACTTGCTTGGTGGGAGATCAGGGTGTTAGATTGATATAGGCAATATACAATTTCATCACAATAATAATAAATCAAGAAATTAATAAACAAAGATTCAACCCTGAAAACAAGTACTGGTATTGAGTAAAAAGACGCGGGGAATGGCTAGCTACCTTCGAACACTAAGTGCAATCTGCTTATGACGTGTCATGGTCTAGCTGACTTCGGTACGGCTTCCATGCGCCATCTACTCATCTCCTACGGGGCATTCAAGGAACGATCGCCGCCAGATCTGAATTCGTCAGGCTGAGGGGCTCTCGCAGCGGGCAGCTGATGCGTCACGTATCATTCACTAACTTCGTGGCCCGCTATACAATGTCAAAGTGGATGTGGATGGATGATAGCTGTCAGAAGACGAGTCTGCTTTTTAACTACTTTTTTTTGGGTCAGGTTTCTTTTTTGGTACCGCTGACGGAGTTGTTCAAGTAGCATATAGTATATGGCTGGTATTATCTCATATAATGATGAGTGGTTAGTGGATCTGTCAGATCGGAAGCAACACGATCATACAATGCTTCCCTCGTCCCCCCCCTTTCCATTTTTATCCTGTCCGGGTGATGCAAAATTATTCGACCTTTGTAGGTGGAAAGAAAAAAAAAGAAAAGAATAAAAGAATAAAAGGACAAACAAATGAAAAATGAGCGAGGAACAAAGATGACTGAGTTTGGAGGAAATGTAAAAAGCCTCACCAAATGGACATGATAGATAGGAAATCAAAAAGTATGCAACATAAATAGGAAAGAAAGCACAAGCGGTCCAGTAAACAGTGCCAGGACATGTTTTACATGAAACGCCGCAACGCGCCGACCGAGGTTCACCTGGCCCTGTATATCTGTACCCATCTAACGACAGAAGGAAATTGGCAAGCGGACATGCCATGGGGTATCATGCTTGTTCCAGTAGGGATATGTACTTCAGTCATCCCAGGCGTCGACACTGACTTCGCGAGTGTCGGGGATGACATCCTCCAGCTTTGACCCATAGATAGGTCGACCATCCTGGGAGAGTTGCCCGCGGAAGTCGGGATCGAAGTCGGGGCTCGTCTCATCAAGAGTGGCCACATATCGGTTGCGACCGCCGCGCTTGCTGTGGGTCTTGGTGTAGTGGGCATTCAGGTTGTCGCTGCGCCCGAAAGCGCGTTGGCACCCGGGCACCCAGCAGACATGGGGCTTCTCCTTGGAGTGGCTCTTCATGTGACGCTTCAGATGCTCCTGTCTTTTGAATCGCCCTTTGCAACCAGGCTCCTGGCACTTGAACTGAACCTGTCGAATGATATGGGGCAGGGCATCCAGCGACATTTTCTGGCGGGAAGACTGCTTGCGAGCAACCTTCCGTGACTGTTGGCGGTGGGGCGGTACCAGGCCATCTGCGTAGACGGGAGACTGCTGGAAGTCATCCATATAGTCTGCGGCGCCTCCGGAAAGCCGGCTCATCGGAGTGTCGGTTCCAGAATGGGTGCCGAGAGAGCATGATCGCACTGGGGTTGTTGGTGTGTGCATCTTGAAATTGTTCATGGAGGCCGGGAAGTCCGTGTAAGAAGGCGGCGGGGTCACGGGTGCGACCTGTGAGGGAGCGATAGTCTGAGGCGCAATAGACTCGCTTGGCGGGGGCATCCACGGGAGCATGTTGCTCATGGACATCGACGACGGTACACGCTCGGAATGGTGAAAGATAGACCGCGATAGGCACGGATTGGTAGCGGACTCTGGGAGGTAGGAAGGAGCATGGCTCCGATAGCTGCCCCGAACCATTGGCGGGTACTGTTGCATTGCCGGCGGATACGGCAGACCGTGATGTCCGGACTCATAGGTCTTGGGCGCATCTGAAGGAATCCAGAACTGTTCGACGTTGTCGTCGTATCCGGAGAGGAAATCCGGCATCGGCATGCGCTCGTGCGGATCCATGCCGCTGTAGTGCGGCAACGCCATGTTCTCATTGGAATTCATGCTGGCTAAGCGAAAAGGGCCTCGGACTGGCGCCGGTCCGGTCGTTCGGTCAAAGGAGTGACCAGGATATGACCCGGTTTCGTGCCAGCTGGGCGAGGCAAGCGACCCTTGGCTATAGATGCTCGTTGGGGTCGGGGTAGGTGATTCCAGAGGTGAGAAACTTGAACTCATAGACGGGCACTCGCTGGAACCCAGTGAAGGACAGTCCACTTCAACAGTCAACCTATCAGAGGCGTTTCGCATATCTTCCGGTTGCACGAATCCCTTTTCCAGAGGCTTGTCCTGATTTCCACCTATACACCACACCGTTTAGTCTTCGTTTGAACAAGAATGATATGACTGATGGAGAAACAAAGGTTGCGACGATGACAGGTCCAAGGATGCAAGTAAACGAACAAGAAGTGAAAGACTACAACACAAGGGAATCTTGAGCTAGAGAATGTGGAGAACAGGCAAGGAGGATCAGTATGCAGCAAGTGAAGGACTGAAGGAGAGTAGCATCTGGGACGGGGAAAGAAGAAAGAGGGACTGATGTGCTGAGCACAATCGCTAGAAGGAATGAAGGACGGTCGACATGAGAATAGTTGAAAGAGAGTGGGAGGGAAAGAAGGAAGTGAGGTTGGGGGAATAGAGGAGGACGGACGAGATGAAATAAACAAAATGCCAGGACATTCAATATATGTGGCAGGGTTGCAGAGGGAGGAGGGTGGGAGGCGGTCGGACTTACAGCTAGTCACCATCGCTCTTTTTTTTTTTTTTTTTTTCCTTTCTCCCAAAGTAGAGCGGCAAAGTCAAGACAAGATTCAAAAAATGAGAGGCGCGTCGCGTGCCTGGAGAGGCCCAAGCAAGGCCAGGAATGCAGACTACAGAGTTCCTCGAGTAACGAAGAGCGAATGACCTGATCTGGAGGCGCAGAGATCAAGGACACCGTTTCCTAGGAGGCGCGACTGTGTCTGAGATAAAAGACAAGGACGGAGGAAGTAGGGCGAGAGTCGAGTGGTGATAAGCAACCCTTCGACGCGGTATACGGCGGGATCCTGTACTCAAGGTTGAGGGATCGAGGGGTGATGAACCGGGTGGGAATTGGTCTCAGATGTGCCGGAGGGGGATGTAGTTATAGGCAAAAAGGGTGGGCAGGGAAACACCAGCAAGGGGACGCCTGGATACAGCCGTCGACGACGCAAGTAGAATGAAATGTCTCAAGATGATTATCGGCGAAGAAGTATAATCCGTGATTATTTGACCCTTGAAGGCGTCGTTCCTGGCGAGAAGTGGAGGACGAAAGAAGAAGAATGGATAGAAAGAGTGGGTAGGCAAGGTAGGAGACCTAGATGGCAAAGTATACTCAGGTGGGAGGAGGTGGTAGTGATGATAGTAATAGTTGTCAGATCAGGCTGGGGAAGGAGGTTTATAGGAAGATTAGTGAACGAATTTAACAATGGTATTTATGAGGACCATTAGTATGGGTAAGAGGTATCTGGAGGCCTACTATAGGACCCAGAAGATCCAGACCTACAGCATTATGTTCCTGTCTGTGGCTGTTGTTCGCCCTACAGCAACCCTTTCTGTTCCCTCTTGGAATTTGAGGTGGCCCTATACCTGTCTTGGGAAGTGGATCTTTTTTCTTTTTATTATTTCTTTTTGATTTTCTTTTTAACGTCTCTATTTTTTGTTTTCTTGTTTATTATTTTCATTATTTTAATTTTTTCTTTTTCAGGTTTCTGTCTTATTTGATTCTACTATCTATTTTTTCTGGTTTTTTGTTCTTCCGTCCTTTCGTGCTCTTGCTGTCTCTAGTTATTAGTCGTTAATTCTGTTTCCTTTACTTTTGTCTACCATTTTAGGGAAAAGAAAGAATTGACTATCATAATAGCATTGTCTTCTGGTTGACTGAGATATTTTCTTTTTCTATTAGTCCATCCTTCAACCGTTGAACGGGGTGGATAGACCTTGGTTTCATCAAGTCTCAATCTGCAATCAATATGAGGTAATACCGAGTGTCTTTGCCATTGTTCTTAGCGTTGTTTTCATTCACCATTGCTATTATTATTATTCCTGTCGTGAATCTTCATTGGTTTCATTTAACTTTATTGAGCCAGCTCCCGATAAAACATACCGACTCGTTCCATAGTAGTGGGCCGTGGTGAAACGATAACCAGATGCCTCATGGTCGAACTAGATCCTTCCTGTACGCTCTCTTCATCCAATGTCCACGTACCACACCGGTCAGTTCTCTCCTCTTCCGAGGAATGGAGAGATGGAGAAGGAGGAGGGTGTGGTAGTGTAACAGAGACCAACAGGACAGCTGGAATGTTCCCCAACGCCCCGAGTCCACCATCTTTGCGACCATGACTGGGGAGGGGCTTGAGCACCAAAGAACCAAAGAAGGGATCGACACTCGTCATCCACACCTCCACACACTCGGGATCTTCCCCGAGAGACTCGACGTAGGTACGTAGTATATACCTTTCCATGTTTAGGTATTAACTTTCCCCCCTAGTACGCGATCCATACCGGTACGTCGATTATTATTGGTATTGTTTACACAGGACGCCGGTACGGACGTATCGCAGGTACCAGGTCCCCACTCGGCCCCGCTGGATCGCGCATCAATCTCCATCCTGACGAGACTCAACGTAACTGAGCATCAGCAGATACATGCGGGTTTCGACCATTGCCAGTTGACCTTTTTTCCTTTTCTGTTTTCCTTTTTCTTATTCTTCTTCTTTTCTTTTTTCATCTGCTCTGGACGATGTCTCGAGAATGTCTCTCTTGTGCAGCCATCGTATCCGCCCCAAGTGCAAGTTCCAAGACCCTGAATGATCGACGTTTTCCCATCTCGACATGGAGAAAAGAGGGAGGCCAATTTTCCTGGACAAGGAACACCTTCCTGGAAAACAGTTCATCGAAATAAATCAAGGTAAAGGCAAACACTCTCCTACGAACTCTCTTGATCAAATAATTCCGCCAAGGGATATCCAGGGACCAAATAATTAGAGATCGATTCAACGATAACACGGACTGGAAGATCGTGGGGGACGAAACAGGATTGCGCAACCAAGTTTCTATAGCGTCTCTACAGACTTCTTCCTTATCGACCGCCCTCGCCTGAAGATCTTCATCTAGTTTCTGATAATAGCAATGGAATGCACCGTGCACTGTGACGCCACTGAGGCCATAGTCAAGAATGTTAATCCCAATCGGCCAAGCTCTGGGGCCGCCTCCACACCCTCTCCCCAGACCGCTTCAGTCTAGAACTAAGGTGGAAGGATTAATGATCTACGCTAGAACGATGCTACTGGCGCAGCTTGGTATCCAAACACGAGAGCCACATTATATGTAACTTGATGGGGACATGTATATTTCAACGGAAGCCCATTTCTAGATAGCGCCTAAAGAGTACAAGAAGCATGAAGTAAATGGATTATAATAACCATAATGACATTACAGAAATCAAATAGCACGGTATGAAGAGATGTCTGCCCATCCTCTGGTTCTGCGGATATGGTATCAGTTCACAGCAGGGTGGGTCAACAGATTCCTCGGGATTGCCATCAGAGCCAGTCTTAGTCCACCCATGGTTGTCCTCCGAGTGCTTCTTATCTTTAAACTCCTCTTGATCCCTTCTTTTTTCCTATCCTGGTTGATTGTTCATAAAATTGTGGAAAATAAATTGGCCAGAAAGCAAAAGCCTTGGACGAAACACAATACACAAAAAAAAAGAAAATTAAAAAAAATCAACTCGCAACCCAATGTAACAAGGGTTTGCTGCCTGGCGTGGCCTGTGCGAACCTTGATTTATGAATGGTAATGAATGACATGAG